TTCTTTCATCGATCATTATCATTATTAACCCTTAACCCTAAGAGTGACAGCAGCTAATATCTCCCTACAGTATCACTGCTGAAACAGACATAATGTCATGAGAATAACAGAATGATCGCCAACTAAAGAAACTCTTGACTGTTTAACAAATTACCCTTTTTTAGTACCAAAGGAAATTTATGCAATTAATATTGCACTCTGCAATTAATATTGAATCTAAATTGTGAAGCAAAGGGGGTCGTTCTTCGAACGTCATAACCACGTAAACCAAAGTCTTCCATTTGGTGACACTGATGATCAAAATACCAAGTGATAGCTTTTGTTCTGTCGCACTTTGAAATACCTGTCGCATTTCGTAAAAGTGTGATGGTCTGTTTTTACAAAGAGAGACAGCTTTTTTTTTTATCACAAAGTGCGACAAGAGGCATTACCAAGCGCGACAATTTTATTTCAAAGTACGACAGGTATTGCAAAGTTTTTCTTGGGGAATATATTTTAAATTCGCTAGTAAAGTCAGTTTTTTTACAATTTTGTTTTGTTGATAGGTACTGAAATCACCTTCAAAAGGAAAAAGGTACAGAATGTGATTAACGTATAACAATCAAATGAAAATAAATCTCGTTTTTGCCTGCGTAAAATGTGCAGGCTAAGACCTGCTCCTTACAGGTGAGCTGAAATTGAAGAAATTACAGAAAAGAAGCCTGAAAGCTTTCAGGTTCCGACGAGATTCCAACCCGTGCCTCCGGTATAAGTGGGGCGCCACTACCGACTAAGCTACGACATGTATTTCGCGGTAAGCGAAGGATATCTGACTAACTTTTATACTACAGCGGCAGCGTTTATTTGACTTTTAGTCTCGTCACCAGTCCACAGTCCCCATCCATTCGGTGGAGTTCTGCTGGGCGACAATCACAGAAGCAGAGGAAGAGGTCAAAGTCTAACTCCATGGACGATCAGAATGACGTAAACAGTAAAAAGGAAGAAAAAGAAGTTGAGAAACCCCCAGCATGGTAAGATGCATCACGCTAGCTCAACATTTGTTCAACTGACAGGAATCTGATGTGAAAAAAATGGAACGCTTGCAAAAGAGACACTTCTAATCCCATCCCATAATCCCTTGTGTGACAAGGGGACTTCTCGCAATAGAAGTAAACCAAAAAAAGAAATGATCCTCCCATGTGGACTGCAATTTTAGCAATTGAAGAAAAAGTAACACGGAAAAAAAATCAGGCTTTTACGGGGATTGGAACCTATGCTTCTCAGATACTAGTCTCGTATCCAGACCTTTCACGGTCAAACGCCGTCATTTCAGTCGCAGTTACACGGTAGGATCTAGTACGAGATCACTCAGATACTAGTTGGGCACTGCTGCCAACTGGGCCAAGACGCTACACGTTGTAAGTGTGGCAAATTTGAGAGGAATCTTCTTTCCCATAGAGAAATTTGAAGCATGTCAACTTGAAGAAAGATGTTCCTCGTCTTCTTACGAGCGTGGGAAAAAGAAACTTGAAAAAAGTGTTCCCACGAGGAATTGAATTCCAGATCTTCGGATTCCGCGCTCCAGTGCTCACTAGACAAGCTTGTCAGCTTAGGCAATGTTGTCTTGATAAAACCCGAAATTCGCCAAAAAGTTTGCAAGGAAATGCAATGAAATGTTTCGAAGGGTTAACAATGTGTTCTTGTTCAGTCACAAAGATTTGGGAATCTTCAGAGCCTGTGATCGTGTTTCGCACATCCAGTACACTTCTTAATTCTTCTCTCGTGTTTGATTTCAGGGGTGGGGTGATCAAAGATTCTTTGCCAATTCAGTCCTTAAGGGATCTTATACAAGAAGAAGAAAAGAAAAGAAACATTCCAGACCAAACGCCTTCACCAGGAATGCCAATCATACCGGGGAAGTCTGGATCTACAAAGAAAAAGCTTAAGTACAGTACATCACTTCTTAAAAGTCTAGCATCGCTTTGAAGTAGAGTAATTTGCAATGAGCAGTTTACGCATTTGAGAAATTCTTCACCTATTTCTGGTCCTAATTGTTTTCCCTTTCCATATTTTAGTTGGCGCCGGCAGCCTGGATTTTACACGAACGGTTCAGAACCCAATGGAGAAGCCCCCGTTGATTTAGCCTCTGGGCGTGATTCGAGTGTTCCACTGTCTCCACCCAAAAGGTGAGCTCAAGGTTGCTCTATTCACTCGTCTTGATGGTAACTGGAAGCAAAAGCGCGAAACTTTCTCCGAAGTCCATACTTCTCGTCATCAAATTCGTTATTGTCATTACTGTTATGATTTTTCTTAACCTGCACAAGTGGCTTCGTAATTTGAAAACCATAGATGTCTTCGATGATGAAAACTGCGTTGGCCTAAAATGTCAAAAGCGTATGAGAGTTCTTATCGCTGGTGCTTTTCGGATGCCGCCATGTCTGTTCTAATAACTTGTTCTATTTAACCATTCGTTTATCTTCTCTATTTGTTCCCCAGTGCCTGGCAGTCAATTCCTATAGCATGTTCTCCGCCATCTTCTTCAATCGCTTTCTCTACAATCCTAGAATCCGAGGAAAAGGAGAACACAACTCTTAACAGGTTTGGCTCTGTTCTTTTTTTAGTTGTCAGGTGCATTTTGTTTTCATGGTTTTTGTTTGTTTGTTTTATTTGTTTATTCATTTATTTGCCTGTCGGTTGGTTGGTTGTTTTATTTTTGTTTGTTTTTTGTTAATTAGAGTTTACGGAAGTAATTAGCGCTCGATCATAATTTGTTCCTCTCGTTTCTTTTGTAGATTTAGCGAGAAGCCATTTCACTTGACACAGGTAATTGTTTTTTTTTTCATTTTCTTGAGCATAATAATCTTTCTGCCTCCAAAACAACCATTTGCCACGCTTTCTTAACAAGTCTCATTGACAATTAGTTTGACTTTCCTCAATCCAAAACTCCCGCCCCTTTTCCATGGCTTTTTAATTTTTAAGGTTTAACTTGATTTTACCATTCATAGCTTGAAGAGAGAGCCATGGAAGAACTGCTGCAGTATTATGGTGGCAAGGACAATGCTTGTGAGTTTGTGACCGTTGAGAGAATTCCATCGACTGCGGCTAAGCCTGTTTGGAGAAAGGAGAGATCGCCATCAGTTGCAAGCAATTAAAGCTTGTTACGCAGCCACAGCTATCATCAAATGAGTTTTTGTTGGGCGAGATGGATTTCCTCTGCCTTTGCGACGAAGAGATTTTTAGAGTTAGGCTGAATGGCCAAATCCGAGTTAAATATTTTCTCGCTGACTTCTATGAAGCGATAAAGAAACTTATTGAAAGCGTTTATCGTTTACCTTGTAACAGAGAAAAATAAAACATTTTAAAAATGTTCTTATGTCGAAGCATCCCCAAAGAGTTGTCTAATGTAACAAAAGTAAATTGTAATAAATAAACAAAACTATATAATTATTAACTCTAGTTCGAGTCCGTCAACTTCACGAAAATTTGGAATCAAGACATCAGTGTAATTTTGTCATTGGCTTTAGACTTGTACGATTTCGCACAGTTCGGAAGTACTTTGGAAAAAGGGAAGCTTAAATAATGTAACAAACATTGCATCCTATTTTTTTGTTATTTGTTCCAGTGTGCGGGCTTTTTAAAACTTCACGTCAGTCTCAGGAAAGCCCTTTAACTCCCAAGATCTCATTAGTAATTCTCCTTACTGTCTGCCATAAAATTCATGTGATGTTAGTTTGGAGAATTTAGAATTGGACCAAACAATATTCCCATAATTCATATTTTTCTTTATTCTCATTTACTTGTCTGCTTGATATTGTACCAATAATGTAAGGAGAAATTCTGTTTAAATCACCAGTGGGACTTGAAGGGTTCAACCTTAAGAGTGGCCAGCATCTAATTGTTCCTTGTAGTAATATTGCTGGATCATTCATTGAGATCATGTGAGCAAAAGAACTGATCGCCAAATTAAGAAGGTTTGATTGCATGGTAAACGAATTCCCCTAGTCAGTAGTAAAGGCGATGTATAGAGAAGGGTATGAAGAATGTGGATACTGATGTTAGATTATAAACGGTGATGAGACCTTATTCATTACACAGCTCGAAATTAAATCAGTTTCCCTTGGAGAACATTTTTCAGGGCGGCGAGTGAGATTTTAATTTATACATACTGAGATTTTCACTGTGAACTACTTTCGTTCGTGTGTCTGATTGGTGAACGTTGTATTTTCAGTCGTTCGCTTCCAATCTTTGAGCTGAAGTGTGAAAAAGTCTCAGAATGTATGAAATAAAAACTTCATGCCATGGAAATTGCTTGAACGATATTTATTCACTCGTCATGATGCAGCGAAGAAGTCACTCCTTCGCTGCGCCCACTCATTGGGTTTTTTGATGTATCGCAACTCGTGAATAACAATCATTCGTGTGCACTTTTCATGGAGTAATCTCTATTTACTCTATTGTCCATTGCATTTCCTTAGAAGGGCCTTTTTACATGGCTCTCTCTGTAACTTCCTTAAAACCACTCAGGATAAAGACAATAGCACCTGTTTCGCACCTGTTTCACACTCTCGTTTGATTGGTAAATCTCTCCTTCAAACTCAGCTTTTATCTTATAAGGAAAAGGTTACATGCCCTCTGAACCAAAGAGTTAACTGCAATAGCGAACGAGTTCGAATCACTTCTTTAAGTTTGTGGACGTGTTACTAAATTTTATAACGGGGCCGCACTTCAGACATGTGGTCAGACAAAATAGGAAATTCGTCCTCCCTTCTACAATTAATTTGGGCAGTAAACAGTCACGATTGCCAATATTTTATGAGGCTCGACGCGTCAACAAGTAGTGAGGACAAACATAGCTTTTTGATGCATATGTGACGGGTAATTTTAAATGACGTAGAGAGGTACAGAGTACTTCTCAGTGAAGGTTATCTGTTCATAACGCGAAAATTTGGTTTTTCACACGTAGGTGGCCCCTCTAAGATGGCCGCAAGACGGAAGTGTGAGTAAATTCTTTGTAAACGTAATATAACTCAGATCGCGAAACGGCCTCAGCTGAGCTACTGATTCAAAGATACAGGTAAATGACTGATTTTAAATAACAGGGTCAGGGTTAATCAGTTAACTTTTGTCAGAGCTTACGTCGAACCTATCAACGAGATTTGATAATCAGTGATTAAAAATCTAGCCCACTGATATTGTGTGAGCATAATGTTTTTGCTTGGTGATTGAATAGGATTTTTTTCTCCTTTTCCTAGTTTTTCCCAACCCCTCTCCCAACCCCGCCTCTTAGTAGTGGACACTACAAAGTTATTTTTGAGAGGATAGGGGTTGGGAAGAGGGTAGGGGGGTCGGGTTTCTGATACAGGAGCCCGCATCATCCCTCGCTGTAATATAATCGAGTATTGGATCGCAGTCTTTTATTTACTAGTGTCTCACTCAGGTAAAGCTGCGGAAACATGGTTAGTTTTGCCAACAGAAATGGTATAATTCTGATAGCCATTTCAATCGCTGTCGCCTTGGCGATCGTGATAGGGATATCTCACACGCAAAAATCAACAGCATCATCCATGAATAAACGCCGAGCGGGTGAGTACTGTTGTGCTATATGTTCATGTGTGTTAAGTGCGCTAACGTGATGCATTACAATAGACCCTTTTAAGTCTCACTTTTATAGCGACAAAAATGTTTTATGAATATGAAAGTGATCCTCGCAGTAATGTACACTACTTAAGCAGTGGTGAAAATAAGGCCTGAAAAAATTCAGGCCTGTACAGGAATTGAAGCCATGACCTCTGCGATACCGGTGCAGCGCTCTGCCACTGAGCTAACAAGTCAACTGGCAGCTGGTCATTATGTTGGATCAGGCCTTATTAGAGTTCATGAGTTCAATTCCCTTACAGGCCTGATTTTTTTTACAGGCGTTATTTTCACTACTGCTTAAGTAGTGTACATTATTGCGAGGATCACTTTCATATTCACGTCTTTATCTGCAGTTCAAATATATAACTTTCATATATTCTTAGCCGTTTAAAAATGTTTTATTTTGACATCACAAAATGAAGTCTTCCTTAGACAAAGTGGGGAAATTGGTGACGCTGTCACTGTTTTCTTTATATCAATTACACACTTCTAAAATGTTCAAGAATATTTCATCGCTTTTTGAGCGTTTGTATTTTACTTGTGACATCAACCGCCAATATTTTATATTGAAATTATTCTTCGAAAGTGGAACTTCTGAACAGACTTTTCTGGGTTCTTATTTTACTTAAAATGTAAAAGGGTTTTCGCTTTTTAAAGAAGCAAGATATCGAATGTCGCTGGCTTTTAGATTTCATGGCCTTGCGTTACATGCGATTCAGTAACATCGTTACATGTGGCTGACTGACGAATGTCTTCGTGTGTCGTAACAGACAAAGCTGTCCATTTCACTTCACATATGTAACGCAATCTGAAATTTAATTCAAAATCAAAAGAAGAACGCTCGCTGATCGCCCAGGCTTAAATGTGTGATACGTTCAAGTACAAGTGCAAGCTTCAATCATATTTTTTTCTTACGATTTTTAATTGAGGATTTGTCTTCATTTGTATTTTTTTTTGTAATTTTAATCACAGCACTCAGTGAGAAGATGCCCTCTTATAGGATATTCGTATGCGTGAAGGTCGACCTCCAAATGGTCTCCTTTGCAGCCGTTGTTTGGTCTCGTCACTCGACGCGTTTTCTTTCTCAGCAAACTACGGCTATGAAAGGAGACTAAACGAAAGGAGACGACCAAACTCCTTGTATCGATGTTCGTCCCTCCCTCCCCTCCCTTGTGAAACAAACTTTGGTTCTTTTCATAGTCTCTCAACTTCGGAAAGGAAGAAAAACGTTAAAAAAGTAAAAATTAATGAAAACAGTGTCTGAAATCCCCACTTCTGTCGTAAATGGGAGGAATGTCATTTTTCTCACCATTAAATGATGGAAAGAACGCTTTGAAAGGCTAATTGTTGAATTTTCAGAAGTCATAGGCCAAAAAGCTGATTAAAGTCAAAAGTTTAAGTTTTCCTTGTCCCTCAGCAGGTGTGCCTATTTCTCTTCCTACGAGACAGACAGAGAATCAATGGTTCAAAGATGGCGTGAAACTCATCAGAGACAATCTGAATAGGCAACCGCTGACTCATACAGCAAAGAACACGATCTTGTTCCTTGGCGACGGTATGGGTATAACTACTACCACTGCTGCACGTATCCTGGCAGGTCAAATGTTAAACCAGTCGGGAGAAGAATATGTCCTTAGTTGGGAAAAGTTTCCGTGGTCTGCCCTGTCCAAAACATACAATGTAGATCAACAAGTTCCAGACTCCGCTGGAACAGGAACTGCCTTTTTGAATGGTGTGAAGACTAATGCTGGTAAGTCGAAAGAGGCAAACCTCTCTCTCTCGAGAAATTTCTGGACGCTCAACGTAGGAAGGAAAGTCATTTTTCTTTTTCCATTGGTCACTTGTTAGTCTCGTTACCAGTCGCTCACACTTCGTATTTGTTACGCTGAATGTTTTGCGAACGTCTGAGGATAGGACTTCGGAGTTGTAATCACAGTTATCGTCCCCTAATACATTTCTCTCTTTCTTCCAGCATGTTTCCTTTTGCTTTCCCTTGAATTTTTCTTCTAAGGGTTTGATTACTGTTCCTCTCTACCTGATAATAAACCCGACCTCAAAATGGAGAATAAAAATTGAATAAATGCGTTAACTATGCAGGTATACATGCATCCATTGTTTTTTGGGTATCTTGCCCAATTTTCATTTGGTCAGCTGGGAAAATGTAGCTTCACATTTGGAACAATTACAAGCATTGGTGTGGTTGGAGATGTTTTACATCCCCTCCCAAACAATTTTCTGTGAAGAGAAACACCTTTGGACTGTCACTTCTCTAATTAAATGGACGGCATTGATGTGCAATTCTCACAACGGTAAACCAAACATGTTCTCGTAATAACGATTTTCGTTGGATAAATCTATCATCCTTAACAATGAGAAATTGTTTACTATGGTGCATCCCGTTTCTGCTTATTTTTCATGTTATCAATCAGGCGTAATCGGTGTAGACGAGGCTGTAAAGCGAGGATTCTGTCAAAGTTTAAATGAAAGCAACAAAGTCCTGTCCATACTAACATTGGCAGAAATGGCGGGAATGTCAACTGGTATCGTGACAACAACGCGTGTCACGCACGCAACACCAGCTTGTCTGTACGCACATTCACCGGAGAGGGGGTGGGAGAGTGACCGCGACCTGAGGCGCAAAGCAAAGGATGACGCATCCAACTGCACAGACATAGGTCTGTAGTGCATGCAAAGTGGATGGGTAAATTTTCTGCTGGATTCTAGGAGATTTTAAAGTAATAACAGTTAATTACCATCGTTTGCCCCATGGGGTAATTACGATGCAAAGATCGATGGATACTGCACCATGCAAATATTCTTAAGCTATTCCATGAAAAATCCATCACTTATTATCCGATTTCCTATAGGTAATTAGTTTTTTGTTTGTCTGTAATTTTTTAATCAAATCTTTATTGATTTTATTTTCGTTTATTTTTGGTTTTTTTTTTGTGAAGAATTAAAAAATTGTTTCTCAGTGAAAACGCCTTAGCATTAACACAGTTTGAGGTTACTGTTACATTGAAAGTTTTTCCAAGGATAGCGAGTTCTACTCTCGTTCAAAGGATTTTTCTCGTCTCTGCAACAGCTTTACAACTCATTGAGTACCCGTTTGGAGATGGAATTGAAGTTATTTTCGCTGGAGGTCGGAGGGAGCTTATACCCAATAACGAGACCGACCCTGAATACCCGGATTTGAAGGGAGAGAGGCTAGATGGCCGAAACCTGATTCAAGAGTGGGTGGATAAATTTCCAAATTCTCAATACGTTTGGAACAAAACTGGCTTTGACCAGATTGACGTCAACAAGGTTGATCACGTTCTAGGTACGTTATCATAAAATCTGTAGGGTGAATGACTATTTCTCATGTGTAATTTAGTAAAAAGCTGAAGTTTCGGGCGTTAGCCCTTCGCCAGAGTGATTGTGAATCTGATGTAGGGCTAACGCTCGTAACGTCAGCGTTTAAAATCTTTACGGTGGCCAATTTACGTTATCAACGAAACTTACCCCCTTTATTTCTCATGCGATTGAGGGATGGATGGATTGATTAACTGACTGATTGATTGATTAGTTGATTTATTGATTGAATGATTGATTGATCGATTGATTGACTAATTGACTGATTAACTGGTTGATTAACTGACCGATTGCTCGATTGATTGATTGATTGATTGATTGATTGATTGACTGATTAATTGTTTGCTTCATTAAATGAATCAGCTCTCTATTGTCTTTTATTCGGGTATAGCTTTTTTGTCAGCATCGATCCAACTGAATATTACTTTATGGCATCAATGCTTTGCCAAATAAATATTACAAACGATGAAGACGATGAACACTAAGAGTATAGTATTGTCTTCTTGCTTAAGTACTTAAGAAACTGTACAACGCTTGTATAATTTATCAGGTCTGTTTGAGTACAGCCATATGCAATATGAAGTCTTCAGGAAGGAGAATGAAACAGAGCCATCCATTGAAGAGATGACAGAGAAAGCCATAAATATCTTGCAGAAAAATCCAAAAGGATATTTTCTCCTGGTGGAAGGTGCGTAAGAGAACAATATCAACTAGCTCAGAAAAATATTACTATTTGGCTGAAAGGGCGAAAATACTTTATGACTCTTTTTTGTTTAAGAGAGCATCAGGCAGAGGGCTTCTTATAGAGATAATGTTCTTATTATCGGAAATGGGGACTCCGATAGGGGTCCAAATTAAGGAGGGGCGCTATTGAAGCGTTTATAGCGAGTCATGTAGTTTTCATTGAGTCCTCTATCGGGGATATCGAAAAGGTAGTTTTTTTCTTTCTTCCTTTTTCATTTCAGGTGGCCGCATTGACCACGGACACCATGGTACAAAGGCGGTGCGTGCCCTGAATGATGCTGTTGCTATGGCAAAGGCTTGTGAGAAGGCGACAGAAATGACCAATCGAGGTAAAAAACAGCTATCATAAATCTCAAGAGCTGACAGGATAGCTTACGCGAAAAAACTTGATTGTTCCTTTGCTACGTCATGATGGTTTTAAAAGTAGAATCTTTCTTCGTGCTATAATCAAGCTTGGAATGTCACGAGTTGTCTCAGGTCACACTTGAATAACAGCAGTATTAAACCAAGAAAGCGTGGATCGAGTTCTGTGTAGTTCGGTGATAGAGCTCCAGACCCTGTCCAAAGATCATCGTTCGTTCTCGATGCTTGTACTCATTGATGACACTATGCTGTCCTACACCACGCCCTTGACTGATGAATTGAGCTGTTTCTGTTGAGTGGCGTAATCTATAGTTCTATTTTCGCTAGGAGTTAAAATAAGATTCTGTAGAGAAAATAGCTTTAATTGGTAGGGAAACAAAGCATTTAAGTATTACTTAAGTATTAGTTATGTTTTGTCGTTGCCGTGTTCAAACGGTTGTTTCATAAAACAGATAAACAAAAACAAAAACAAAAAAATAAGCAAAAAGAAACAAAACCTAAACACTCTCAGCGGCCATTCAAAACAATGAAGAATATGAAAAGGTGCCAAAGAGAGCTCAAAGAGAAAACAAACAAAAAGTGCCTGAAGCGCGGGGAAACGGGAGTGACTAAGAGCTGATTAGTTTTAGTTTCTGATTGGTGATGATGGTGCAGTTGTATTTTCAAAGCAATCGTAGAATAAAGCAAATCACACATATTGTAACCTCGGGTAACTTCCGAAAATCAACTGAAAGTTGCTTTATCACTGTGCTTCTGTTTTCCCTCACAGAAGATACTCTCGTGGTAGTGACTGCTGACCATTCTCACGTGTTTTCCATGGGTGGTTACGCTAAACGTGGCAATTCAATCTTTGACCTGGTAGTAAAAGTTGGCGAGACTACGCCGGACGAAGCAAAGGACAAACTTCCTTACACAGTCTTGGGTTATGCAAATGGACCCGGAGGAGAACGGGTAAATGGTACACGACAAGACCTCACAGGGGTGGACACGGGAGACAGTGACTTCGAGCAACAAGCCACGGTTTGGTTAAGCTCGGAAACTCATGGGGGAGATGACGTAGGTATGTTTAAATACTATAATGTTTTTATCTCCAGAAACGAACCAATAAGTTATTTGTTTTCATTTTAGGCCAATTTTACTTGATCTTTTCATTGTTTTGTTTTCAAGTCGTACTCTTTTGCAATCTGTTGAAGCTTTCGAAATTGTTTCAGGTATTCGACGATATAGTTTGAACTGCAATTTGGTCGAGCACTTCCCTAAGCTGTCACTAGAGACAGTGGTTCCTAAAATTGATAATTCGAAACAAACTCAATCATCGAATGATAAAGCAATCATCGCGCTTGGTCATTGGAAAGAAACATGATTTATCAGTGTCTTGCAGATCTACAGTTTGCCTCAGCCTTCTGCTTCAGGGAACAATTGATATGCAAGTCACTGAAAAATTACGATGTTTTGCTCAACCTCCTCAAATGATTGTTAGTTCTTGTTGCTCATCAATAAATTGTGGAATATACGAGAGTAGAGATAATATTAACCAGCTTAATTTGTTTCATTTCAACACCAACTTTCTAGCACAAAAAAAAATTTTTAAAAATTTATGGTAGATAACAAGAAGTAATATGAGACCCTGGCAATAGAAAGTTTAATCAAACTTGAAACCAAAACGTGTGGGAAGGCTGATCTTTTCAGAGTCTGATGAAAGCCTCCCCTCTGTTGCAGACTCTATTTATTAAAATTAAATATCATATTTACCTCAGGAATATATGCAGACGGTCCGGGAGCCTACTTATTCCGTGGTGTTGTGGAACAGCCGTATATATTTCACGTGATGGACCATGCCATGTGTTTAAGTGATAGCAAGCGGGATACGTGTGATAGGCACCCAGCGAGAGAGTAACGAAACTATAGAGAAAATTAAAACTGGCTGTTTTAAATGAACCTCAGTGAAATCAAAACGGCTCATCATAACACAGAAAAATATTACAAGGAGCTGACGAAAACTGAAACTGGCTGACGCGGGGTCAAAAGAAAGTGACCCGATCCTGTCGGATGTCTTAGGTTCCCGATCTGATTGGTGGAGAGGGCAGCACAAGTTTTCTTGTCCAATCAGAAAGAAAAGTAAAGAAAAACCAATGCAATTCCATTTTGATTTTTACATTCACTTGAAAATCTCTGTCAGACGAGTGCTTCAATGCGAGACTTTACTGAAATAAATCGCGTTCAATGTACAGTCAGTTGTCGGTTTGTTTTATGTTGACTCCCCTATAAAATAAATGGACGGACTATGATGTCTATCCCAGTCAACTGATTACAGGTCCTTGCTGGAACCATGGTTAGGCGAGAGCATAATGTTAAAAATTAAAGACTTTTCAAAACTTGCAAGTCAATTTTTGGGATTAAATGCCATGGGAATTGTAAGCATAGTTCCATCTACTCAAATATTTTCAGTAAATAAGACAAACGAGACAAGAATCTTTTCCCCTTTGCTAAACTTTATTCATGATGTGGAATTCTGGCCCATAAAAGCAAAGCGTATATGTGTTTGCAATTATTGTAAGAACATAAACCAAATGTAAACCTCGAGTAACCCTAGAAGACTTCTTTTATAACCTTTCAATAGTCTCATGTGTAAACTAAACAAAATGAAATGTTGGTTACTAAACACTTAACGGTTATCGCGCTAATTGTGAAAACATTACATAGTATCACTGTAGATCTTGCCTGGCCCTAGAAAACCTCGACTTTAATACTTCAACAGTCCTGAATTTCGATCACAGCCAACTGAGATGTTTGCATTCTAGAAAGCCTAACAACTATTGCAATTATGCTAAAAATGTAGTTTCACTGCAGATCATGATTAGCCCTGCTGAACTCCGTTAGAACCCCACAATTAACACTATAAAAACCAAACTTAAATGCGGTTTGTTTACTAAAACACCGCCCTAACATCTAAGTCTGTTGGTGGCTGAATTAGGAAGCTGCATGAGGTTTACACACCCGATGATAATTTCAGGCACATCAGCTCATTTAATTGTTTGCAATAGTGTCTTGGATCCACTGAAGAACAACTCGCACATCAGCCTGGAGATAGGTTCGGTCTCTTTTACCACAAGCATTCTTCCCATAACTGTGAACCCCTTCTAAGTACCACCTTCCATCTTCCTCGCGAACCACAGGGCCACCAGAGTCCCCGAAACAGTTGCCTCCTTCGCCCCAAAATTTAGATGTGGTGAAAAAAACTGCTCCTCTTTGCTGAAATAAATGCTAGGAAAAATCCAGATACGGTTTAACTTGAAACGGAAAGGAGGGAAAGGGGAAATATTCGTTAGTGTTATTACTCAGTGCAAGAATAGTCTAGAACTGTGTCGATTGTAGATCAAAGCTTGAATTAAGACTCCTATTGAAAATCTTAGCTTCTATTTGGAAATCCCCTTAAAAAATTTATTCTCATATCCCATTTTCCGTTTCGTGTCCGTGCTCTTAATTCAACGTTTTCTTGGTTTTTTCCCGACAAGCCAAATCCCTTTTCTCCTGGTTAAAGCATCTGTGCTGAAGCCTATGTACCTGTGTTAACTGAGGAGCAATCATGTTTGAACGGATTTTGAGATGAGTGTTAACTCTGGTGAGTGAAAACGGAATGATGTTTTGCATCGCTCGGGATGTCCTCGTGGCAAATGAGAAGAGCATACCTTAAGGCGCACAAGCCACTCCGAAAGTAGACGCATGCGCACCGAAAGGTAACAGTTTACGAGTCGTCCGCATTCCCCCTCCTCCCCCCTCAATAACGAAAAAATGAGAGGGTCATTGCATGTTTCTTCACCCACAGGAAGATTTAAGACGAATCGGGGAGAGGTTGGCGGGAGGTCTGGCACTAATATATGCTGGACCCTTTGCAGAGTCACTTTGCTCATACTCTCCCGTCGGCGAAGAAACGCACGCATAGAAGCGCTAATAACGAGCGCCTGCTCGCATGCTAATTTTCACTCGGTACCTACATCTTCCTCTGACACGACTTCAACTTGGACTTCTCTTAGCACGTTCGACAAAAGACCGCTGACATTAGTCCTGGCCCAGCCAGTTTCCCAAAGGAATGAACCAAGCGGCAACCTTGTGGTGGATTTGGGCAAGCTTATGGTCCCTACATGATCGTTTAAGGCTACAGGATACTTCAGTTTTAACAATGCAAAGTCGTAATCGAGTGGTTTGCGGCTGTAGCTATGATGTCTAACGATTTGGTAAACACAGTGCCTCTGTTCTTCGCAGCTTTCAATGAAACGATGGTATTCCCCAAGTCTGATGGAGCACACAGAAAACTGATTTAACCATTTTCTCTCCTAAAACCTCTTTACTGTCTGCCATACAGTTCTAATGATGTCACTTTGGATAATTTTGCATTGGATCGATTAATTATGCCCCAACTGATATTCTTCTTTGTTCTCATCAATTGCTTGCCTGATTTTTCATTTACATTTTAAGGAAAAAATTGTCTTGTGTTCTCATGGAGGTTAGAGGGTTTGGGGAATGAGTCAACGGTACAAGTCGAGGGGATGCTGAATGTGAATGGGGATTGCAAGGAGGTTCTCTTTGCTTCACTTGAAGAGATAACGAAGAAATAAACCGCGGACTACTGTCAAACTACTCATGGCAAATTTCAAATAAGTGTTACAAATACTCTGGGATTGTTTCGGCTGTACGTCGTTATACTCTGTGATTTGTGCAAAAACTGGCATTATCTTGGAGGCATATGGAGTGAAAAAGTAAAGCATCTGGCTATTTATTCACTCGCGTTTTGATTAGTTAATTGTTCGTTATGGTTACTCCAGATGCTTTTGGTATTGCGACGTTAAATCGACATGTACTCTTACCTTACCAAATAAGAGGATCTCACTGGAAACTTGAATCAATTGCAAAAAATTAAGTATTTGCAAAACCCCACGGACAAGGCAGGCGCTAATGTTTCTTCCTCATGTGCGTAATTTAGCGCATAAGACAAGTTTGTACTTTCTACTGTTAAACAGGGTCTATAAACGTACGTAAATTGATTGGTGAAGGAAACTCGTACACTACGAATAGATTTAAATTTCCTTACGATATTTCCAGATCTTCAGGATAGAGGCCGGTACAGTGGGCAGCGGTGATCACCCATAGAGGAGTCAAAAGAGAACCACTGCAATGCCAAGTGCGCATGCCTGTTTTCTTAAGTAGCTGCGCATGCCAGCGCCATTCGTCTGGACCAGATTCGCGTCTTTTGATGTTTTCACTGAGCGGCATTTTCACACCACAACCTGCTAGTTCTGTCGGTTAACAAATAAAAAAGCTTGAAAATTATTTAGAAAAGAAGTTGTTAGTTCCATCTAACTTGGTTGTCGATCGTGGGCATATGAACGGCAAAAAGAGGTTCTAAAGTGCGCACTTAATTAGCGATACAGATGTTTCATTTTTCTTTTCACCTTTTCTGTGTAAATTGCAGATGGCGTGAACATCGTTCCTCGCTGGTTTGGCTGCATAGTCTAAAGCTCTAAATTTGAATATCAAGGTCTAAAAATTACATGGTTCTCCACTGCAGTCGCTATATATTTGCTAATAAACTAGTTGAGAGCAGCCGAAAAAGTCCAAATTCATTGCTTTGGTTGGAGCTACGGGTCTTGTAGTTTGTTTTCGTGTATTTGGTGCTAGAAGAAAAAGAGAAAAAGATATCGCCTTATGTAATACTTCTTACTTAGGTTCTAGTTACCTCGTTTAACCTCTGCAGCTTTTCCTTTGACTGGAGAAAGATTTTTGCACAACAGCAAAGTAACGCAAAGAAGGCCAAGAAGTGTAGAATTTAGAGAGCAAGTCATGTTGCTGTCCTCCAAAGGAGCTGTAAGAACCGCCAAGTTATCAGGATATGTACTGCATGTATTCTGACGTCTTTAGCTCTCTAGAGTAAACACATAATTTATATCTAAACAAAACATATAGAAACATACCATTCAGAAACCTAGAAACTCAGAAAACTGGAATCTGATGCTTTCCTTAAACAATGGGCTGTTGCTAAGTATTAAACACAGAACTTTTAAGTGCACTTATGCATGAATGCACTCTTTTTAATTCATTAACATAATTGATTTTGCTTTGGGAAAAATATCTATGTACCTGAAAAATGGGAATTTTACCATATGGTGTACACTATGCGTATTTAACTATGCGTGTCTCATTTATCGTGATCGATATTCTACGGCCGTTACAGGAGTAGAACTTGCCAAGTGAAATAACACTTAAGGCCAGGCATCTATCATCGACAATTCCCTACACAATGTATCTAATGAGACAACTGTCTTTCAAATACATGCGCGGAAAGATATCGATATTCAACCGATGTTCAGTCAAGAACAAAAAGGTTCAATTATCGTATTGACTGAGAATATCCTCATAGCAACGCGATATCCTTAAGCGAAAAAACTCTCTCGATCATTCTAAAAATAACTTGCGCACTGTAGTATGTTACGTTGAAGCATTGCAAGATAAATTAGGCCAAAAAGAAAGGGGAATAGATATCCAGGTGTTATCCAAGCTAGAGCTTGGATAACACCTGGAAAAGGAAGAGCTAAGTGTTTTACATCTAAACAAAACGTATTAAAACGTCAGACAAAACTCCCAACAACCCCGTGAATAACTGTAAAATAACGTTCTTTCAGCATACTCTCGTTGCTAATGGACTTTGGATTTTAACTTAAGAAATTGTCTCTGCTTTTATTCATAAGTATGCTTTGTTCCGGCTTTTTCATTATTTCACAACTTTGTTTTTTCGCTCAGACACGTTTTTTATTTTCGAAAAAGATCTAGTAAAAATTATATTTTAATGGAAAATGAGGACTACCTCTTGAACTGATCTTACTGAGTCAATGTGAGTCTTTTCGTGTCCCTTTTCCGTTCCCGCGTGCATAAAAAAAATGTGTTCACGCACACAGCACAATTGAGCCCTCATTAAGAGCTTATATTATGTTGTGTGCATTTATGAAATTTTAAATTACCATTTCGAGAGTTGCTTTTAAGGTTATGGAGGACAGAAACGGAGATAACGCGGAGAAAACCTTAGCTAAGAGAGCCAAAAGTGAAAGAAAACTGATATCAACAGATGCATAGCTAGAGAATTGAAATTAATTGCAATAGTTTTTAATAGTTTCAACTGTGATTAAAACCTCAGAGAGTGTAGATTCCACAGGACACTAAAAACTTGCGTACTACTCATTGAACGCCTTCGTATAAAAAACACTTCTTTGGTAATTTCCAATTATTCTTGGTCGCCATCTTAACTGTTAAGACCGCAATCAGTGGTACAAAGATGGAAAGGATCTCATTCACCACAAACTAATGGAGGCAGAAATCATGCACCCTGCTAAGAACGCCATCCTCTTCATGGGAGATGGCATGGGCATCACAACCACGACTGCTGCACGTATATTGGACGGACAGATGAAAGGCAAAACAGGAGAGGAGAATGTGCTGAGCTGGGAAACGTTTCCCTAGTCGGGTCTGGCAAAAACTTAAAGCGTTGATACCCAGGGGACAGACTCGGCGGCTTTTGCGACAGCCATTTTGAGCGGAATCAAGGCGATTGGTGGCAGCGCAAAGAACACAAACTAAAAAAAACGTGAATTATACACGGGAAATAAGTCCGAGAAGTATGATTAAATGTGTAATACTGTTAATAGGGAATGACAGCTTTGATTAAGTTAATGCTTTTCATTACTCATACTTTGCTGTTGATTTCGAGGCGTTTCCGCTAGCTAACTGTTCACCCTTTGTTCTGCCAGATATGAAATTAATGGTAAAACACAACTTTGACTGTGTTGTATACAAATAAATATCACGACTGGTTGTGCTCTCCTTAGGAAGAAATAACATAACATCGAACCCTTGTAGTACCAGCGTAAATATGAGTTGTTAGTACTTATCACAAGAACGAATCAAAACTGATAGTACGACAGGAATTGCCTCATCTCTAAAGCACCATTTAATACCATTTATATTGGTTATCTAGATTAAACTCGACAAAACCAAATTCTTTTTAGGATTCTGAATTTTCAATTCTTCTATGTGTCGTTTAGGTGTTATCGGTATTAATGGTATTATAAAATGGAGCTACTGTTCCTCTGAGACTTCAGAAAGGAGAGCAACATCTTCACGCGCTTACAGAGATGGCCGGGATGTCAACTGGAATCGTGACAACGACGCACGATGGCGACAAAATGGAAGAAGCACTCGATGATGCCTCTACCTGCTAAGACATCGGTAAAAATATCTAGGACCATGATCTTTACCGCGTATAATCTAACTATACGCGATTAGCTTTCTCAGCTTCCCTCCTCTTCTTGATCTTTTTTCCCTCTTCTTTGAACTTCGTTTTAAATTTCTCTCTCTAAACCAAGTACAAAAGCAGTATGCAGGCTATGTTACAGTTTTAATTGTTAAGTTTATTTTTTGTTGTTTTACTTTTCAGCCATACAGCTTATAGAATTCCCGTACGGTGATGGAATAGAAGTTATATTTGACGGGGGAAGACGAGAGTTTATGCACGAAAATCAAACAGACCCCGAATATCCACAAAGAAATGGCAAGAGATTGAACGGAAAAGTTCTAATTCAGGAATCGGTGTAAAAGCATCCCAACTCGCATTACGTATGGAATCAAACAGGTTTTGACAAGATTGACACGAAGAAGGTAGATCACGTGATAGGTATGTGATACCGCGAAAAAGGATGGAGGAACTGAGTGAATTTTCTTAATTGAAGAAGTTCTACTCAAGCATACGTTTTCTAGATGTTTCTCTTGAACTAGAACACAGTTAGGATACACTAGTGATTTTAGTACATATACTATGCAGACAGATTAAAAAAACTCCACACCATTTTCCAGGAAATATCTGTTAATTGCTATTTTCAAGTTTTTTATATTTTATTGTATTTTTTACAAGCCTCTTCCCTTGTTACATAATTCTAGCCAGATTTCTAACAAAATAACAAAAATAATTCCCTCGTTTAGAAGCTAAACATAGAAACTATCGTGAGTCCCTCCGGTCCGTGCGAAACGACAGAAAACTCCAAACAGAACTTAGTCTTCTGATTGGTTATATAAACTGGATTTGATGGGGTAAAGCTTCCATCAACCATTGCACACAAAAAACAACATAATTTCACTTAAATTATATACTTTTTATTTTTTACATCATATGCTATACATTTTGACTAAGGCACAGCGGTATCACTCTGTAAACATACATCTATTTCAGTCAAATGTGCCTGTTACATGAGAATGACTGAAGCTTAAACAAAACCGGTCTCTCTTACAAAGCAATCGTAAAAATCTAACTTTTCAACAGGAGACCAATGCACGCGAAGTTCTCTACTTTTTATTGTGCAGCAGTGTTTTCTTGATGTCGCTTTTCATCTTAAGTATCTTCAGAACAACAGAATGATCCAAGAAGCCAAAATGATCAGCGAATTAAATGAAGAGACACAAAAAGTGTACCCTCCATTTATAACCGGCGGTTTGCTTGTTGTGACTGGTGCTTTTCCTCCCCGCGCCACGTGCTTTGCACATGATTCCTGTTTGCTGTTACTCAGACATAACGCGTGATCCATCACGTGGAACACGTACTGCTGTTCAAATACGCCATGAAACAAGTATGCACCAGGTCCGTCCGCGTATACCCCTGAAATGATAACATGATATATAGATTTAGCTACACCTAAAAGCAGAGCTCCAGTCAGTTAATTTTATTTCCCGTCACTTTAGTAAAACTCTTCACAGGCTGTTGAAGAGTTAATTTACAACAATTCAGTTGTAAATCAGTCATCATTCGAGATGATATGTAAGTTTTGATTGATAGAATTCATGGTTCTAAACCCAGGGACGAAAGAATTACCAGTAGAGGCATGTAAACTGCTTTTGAACCAGCTTTTCCAAAGTAAGTAAGAGTAATTATTTCTAAATATAGCTGTTCTTTCTCAAGAACGTTTTAAAGAGAAAGATTTATCTTAATCCTCAAGGTTTACTGAGAAGAATTTTAATTCGCTCCATTTTTGCGTCGGCCAGGCGATAGGAAACTAAGGATGGAATATTTATCGAACACTAATGTCTATCTTGGTTGCTCTGCTGTTCATAAAGACATCTCATGTAGAAAAAAAAATGAAACGAAAACTTAAGCCAAATTATTAATGATAGAGAAACCGCCGCTCAGCTCCTTTCGTGGATAACAACTCGCATGCACAAGATAACTGATCTGTGGAGGTAGGTATTCATGGTATGCTATCAGGATAACACGAAATGAAGATCTTTTTACCCTCAATTGCTGTGACACTTACCAACATCTTCAACTCCGTGAGTCTCAGAACTCTTACGAACAGTAGCTTGGGTGCGATATACTTTATCCGTGGTGTCGACCCCTCTGAGGTCTGGACGAGCCCCAGTTAAACCTCCTGGGCCGTTTGTGTAGCCGAGTGAAGTGTAAGTCTTGTTATCGGATCCAACCGCCAAATGTCCGCCAGTTTCATTTACTAAGGTAAACATCGGGTTCCCGCGCTGGGGATACGCACCGATGGTGAAGACGTGAGAGTGGTCAGCGGTAACTGTTATCAGCGTTTCCTCTTTAAAGAAATTTTGCAGTTAACAGATTTTCAGAAAAAACAATTATAAGTTTCTGACAATGTCAATACGTCAAGCAGTTACGCCTTTTGTAATTCAGTGTGGTGCGTCAATACATATAATGCATTCATCGAAAGGGGAGATAAATTTGATAACTAAGGAACGCGAAAAAAAGTTTACCTTTATTTATCAGTCCCTTTGCTTTGATGACCGCCTTATCCATGGCTACGCCATCATTAATAGCCTTAACCGCCCAATTCGCGTGGTGTCCATGATCAATCCGTCCTCCTATATAGACATCAAAGATACCCTGACTGTTTTGCGGTCATCATTCCAAAACATATCAAAGAAGTTTAATGCCACCTTAGGTAATTTAACCCTTTCACCCTCGACTGATCAGAGTTTAATTTCGGCTAACAGTATCATCCCTGAATCAAACATAAAGATCATGAGAATGAAGGAAATGATGGGCATGCGCAATTGAAGAAACTCCCGATTTTTAGTCAAATTCTCCTTGTAAGTATCATAGTGAATGTTTAGAGAACAGTGTGGCAAGGCTTGCATTCTGTATTCTGATGCTCGAGTGTAGAGGGTTTTAAAACATACATCAAAAGGATTTATTCTGCGAATGCAACTTCCGTGAATCTGAAAAAATGCCCGACATGTAACACTCTTTTGTGACCCTGAAAAATTCGAATGCACAGCTTTGTTCAGATAATATTTCTCCTTTTGCAAAAAAGCAAAGGGTGTACATTGATTTGACAGAAAAATCAAGCGTACCCCAGAGGCAACAGTAACAACGATCTGTCGGTAATCTGTCGCCAATGCGTATTACATTTGCTTTTTACAAGGAGGATATACTTATCCTCTCTTGATTTTTTATAATTACGTGAGTTCATTTGGAGTACGAAAGCTATGATTTCCTCTCCGTAAATAGGTGGATGAGCATGGAAATTTTAAAGGAGAGACCATTTAAGCTGTAAACTACCTTCGACAAAAAGAAAGTATCCTTTGGAGTTTTTCTGCAGTATTTTGATGGCTTTTTCTGTCATCTCTGCTATTGATGGTTCGCCAGCGCCATCTTCCTCTCGATCAACTTCATATTGCATGTGAGAACGTTCAAAAAGCCCTACAATGACGCAAATGCAAAAATTATGCAAAGCTACTTTTCTTTGGTCAAACTAAGCAGCCCATTTTGAACACTTTCTGAACCAACACAAACCATATCATTGTTTACCTAGATGTGAAGAGAAAGAAAACGAATGATTTAGAGAAAAACGAGTGTCATAAATAAGAGGCAACTTCCATAGAGTATCGAAAGCAATCCGTGATTGCAGGGCGTTTCCTTTAGTTCTCTCTACACGAGTTCTGAAATAAACTAGCGACCTCTCAATCCATAAGAGGTAAAGTAAGATTACTATCGTAAAAGATTATTATCATAATTATTATGGATCACTATCAGTATCTGGGCAACTGTCCACCTACCCCTCCCCTAACTCAACAAAAGTCAATTGACAACAAGTTAAAGTTAATGTTGGGTTAGGGGAGGGGTACGTGGGCAGTTGCCCAGATACCGATATTGATCCATTATTGTTATCATTATTATTAGTATTGTTATTTCTTCCTCTTTTCATACAAATCCGTAATTAATGGCCAATTGCGTTTTGCACGCTTTAGATAGTTCTGTGGTTTTCCTCTCCTTTTTTCGTTTTTTTTTACTTATTTTTTTCATCATTCTTTCTTTCAGTTCTCATTGTCTCCTCGTTATATTTCTCTTTTTGCAGTGTTTTTCTGTCGCTTGGACTATACCGTAACAATACAATGTCGAGTTTTAAACCTACCCGTTTCCAAAAACGGTATATTACTAAACCTTCCCCTAATACAGTTTTTCTCTGTTTAATCGTTTACATTTCGAACACAATAATAGACTGACACATCTGAATTATCCGCCAAAATCATCCTTGGTGGACTTCAATAGTGGCTCTGAACGGTGAGAGGATTGAAATGATTTATGCTGAAGAGTCAAGCAATTGGTATTCACTTACCTATCACGTGCTTAACTTTGTTCACGTCAATATTGTCAAAACCTGTTTGGTTCCACACGTACTGCGAGTTAGGATGCTTCTTCACCCATTCCTGTATTAGATCTCTGCCATCGTGTCTTCTTCCTTTTTTGTCCGGGTACTCAGGGTCTGTTTGATTTTTATGCATGAACTCTCTGCGTCCACCACCAAAGATAACTTCTATTCCATCTCCATAAGCGTATTCAATGAGCTGAAGAGCTTATAATATAATTTAGCCTGTTATTATTTATCACCTGCGCAGAGAGTGGGGAGGGGGGGAGGGGGGGTTGGAAGAATCAGTCGTTGCTGAATAAAAGGGAGGAACTATAGAAGATTGACTGCCAACAAGAGGGATCATTAGAATACTATAGAGCATTTGAGGAGGATCAGGTAAATTCTATTGTGACACAACTGAGATCCTCTAACCCCTCTCACCCAGGGGATGAATAACGACCGGCTCCTAATTTCCTTCGGCGACAGTTTCTGCGTATCTCAAAAACATTTTACGGGTGAACATTCGTCGAAACATCGTTAGAAACTGAAAATATCCACACATATGAACATCTAATTACATCACTGGGATTGACTTGCATTTAAAATCACCTTAACGATTCGAACCGTGAGATGATTCGATCGTTTCCAGTGAATGATATCTCCGAGAAAAAGAAAAAAAAGAAACAGCTGAGACACCTTTCGTCAACAAGCTCATGACGGGCTTACCAATATCTTTGCACGAAGTTGCATCATCTTTCGCCGTTTCCTCCTTCTCCGAATCACTCTCCCAGTCGCGATCCACAGAATGCGCGAATGCACTCGCGGGAGTTGCGTGAGTTACACGCGTGGTGGTGACGATTCCAGTTGACATCCCAGCCATCTCTGCCAGTGATAAGAGAGATATGACTCTACGATCTGCTTTCCAAGTGGAGCAGTACCCTCTTTTTACTCTTTCATCCATTGCAAGAACGTCTAAAGAATCATACAACAAGGAATCAAAGTCAAAACCTTTGAACAAATTTTTCATTCCTTTTTTCATTTTTTCCCGAGCTGCTTTGGGGGATTCCGACGTACATTTTAGTCTATGCTCTCTTTTGATGCCCTCTTTCCTGAAAAGCGAATCGCCTTCGGGCTTTCCCTGCTATAATAGACTAATATGAAAAACTGTTACTCAGAGACTCTCCTTGCTATGTAACAATGAACTGAGAGGAACCTGCGTAGTTTGATCATAGAAAACTACTGCCAATTTATTCATGAAAACAGAGGGGAAAAAATCGATACAATGAGGCCTTACCGTTTCCCAAGGACAGAGAGAAAATCTTTCTTGCTTTAAGAACCAATAAGATTGCAGGATTCGCTACCCTGCCCCCTTAGAACACACAATACTAAAACTACCCGTAATGCTCCCTGATGTCAACACGTCTGCTCTCGGTCCTATCCCTTCCCCGTCAATAAAATCCTGTCTACTTTCCTTTTGACATAGCATCATTTCGTAAAATTCCACCTCTATCCACTTACTATCAAGGGTCTTTATTCCATTCATAAACGCCGTCGCAGAAGCCGCCGAGTCTGCACCCTGCGTATCAACGTTGTAAGTTTTGGCCTGACCCGACCACGGAAATGTTTCCCAGCTCAGCACATTCTCCTCGCCTGAGTGGCCTTTCATCTGTCCGTCCAATATGCGCGTTGCAGTGATGGTTGTATAACCCATTCCATCGCCGACAAAGAGGATGGCGTTCTTTGCAGTGTTCGTGTTTGATTTCACCTTCAAGTTGTCCTGCACCAGTTTCAAACCATCTTTATACCATTGGTTGTTGTCTTGATTTGTGAGGATATCGTTTGCATTGACAACTAGGAATGAATTACTAGTGGTCAAATGTTTACTAAAATGTATCTCAGCAGTTTTGTTAGGGTGCTTAGAGTTATACTTGTTGTGATTTGCAACTTTTAAAATGCGATTCCCATTGATAATATTGCAGCCACAATGCACTATTAATCTTACTGTTATCGCAGCGATAAATATCTCACAAGAGAAAGAAAGAAACTCAGGCTAAAATTTCAACCGACTAAAATTATAGGACAGGAAGAATGACGAGAAGTTAGGAGCTAGAGTAAGGATTCTCAAGTCGACTTCCGTGTACCTTCCCTGACCCTAACATTTCCTTTCTAGAGGACTCCCTAAGCAAATAGTGAATGATTTTCGCCGTCTTGTACATCATCGACTTTGAAGTAGACAAACCAACGAATTTTTGTGTACCTGACTGTATTGCTTACAGTTTTAAAACAGAATACTGTGATCAAATCTCAACCCCCCACCCTCTTCCTACTCCTCAACAAATGAACGGTCCCTTAAAACTTTAATTCTGGTTAGTATGTCTTTATACTCGGTTGTCTTTATACCTATCAAGCTACCCTTGGGCCTCCCGGTAAAGAAGGCCCACCATTGTGACGCCGTCCGTCACAGAGTTTCACTGATGTTATTACCACATCTTCATGGCATCTGTGACCAATTACTTAACAGACGCGTGGTGAAATGGAATCTATTTGTTTTGCATGATATAAAAGCAGAATTTGCTTATGATGACATCATTTAGTCGTCTCTCCTCCTTTAGATCTCAAGATTAAATAAGTGATTCCCAAGAAAGAGCTTGAATGTTACATAGACAAAATAAATCAAGCAACATTTACAGATTTCTGTACTCTTCCTACTACAAAATGAGGGTTTGGCGACGTCATGCCGCCTAGATCAAATACGAATGAAAAAACCATCATCAGTTATACTATTGCACAAACTTTCATGAACCTAACTAAGGATTTTCTCCTATAATAACATGAAGTTTTTTGGCAACATCATTACATTTTTTAATCGATATCCCTTCTTCTCATTGTCAGCTATGAAAGTTTCCAGTTACTGCAACTTTTTGTTTCATAGGACGGCCATAAAAGAATGTCGCTTGCTCACACATAACTGATAATGAGAGTATATGATTGGCAAGCTCTGGTAGACTTTTGACGCTAAGGTTGAGAGTTTCTAAGACAGACGTTTGGAGCGTCAGCCCTTTGTCAGAGCGATTACAGATGGACTAACGCTCGAAACGTCAGCTTTAGAAACTTGTCTAAATAGGCCAATTAACATCATCAACTCAGTTGAATAAACCAAATTATATTTTTTGAATGTACTCCTTTATTCTTTTGACATCACGGCTGGCCATGTTTGTAACGAACTTCGCGCCAGCCTGGAGTTGTTCGCACATGTTGTGCGTGCACGCGCATGCCCGAAATTATCGCTAGACTTGACCCCACATTGACCTACATATCCATGGCTTTGAAAATATAATTGAGAAAGATTTCAAACCTTGACGTTCCAGCGACGTCAAGCCGCCTAAATCAAATACAAATGAATGCACAATAAACTTTGAATTAACGCAAACATGGGCAAGAGTCTGGAAGCCAATAAAAATAGACTATGTTATGCATATTTCATTAATTTAGCTACATTTGATTGATTGAAGGCGCCTTTGAAATATGACTCTTAAAATGTCAACTTTATTAAGAAAATTGGTCTGCTTCTGACTGCGTTCTTCTTTAAGGTGTAACGAAGTAAACGGGCATATACATCAAAACCCCGTGCGGTTTGTCCGAAGTTACTTTTGAAACTCTTATGTAACTAACGCTAACATACGCGTGGATTATGCGCTGTACGCGTAACCATAAAAAGAATTTTTTTTTCCTGTTTCGATGATAGTCTTCGTTTTCAAACTCCACAAATTTCGCGGTGCTTAAAATTACTGTTCAAAGTCCTCGTGTTGTTCCTTGCTCAAACTGACCCTGTTGGTAACTTCAAGTTCCAAAAAGGACTTTTACTTGCGACTTACATTGTTTCTCGAGACTACATTTACTTCAGCCCCTGTGGTTACTCTTAGATATTTGTCCATGATAAACAAAAACTGCATTCCTTTGTAAATGAATATTTATCCTTTTTATGAAAATCAATGCCACTTTTCAATCCATCAGACCGTCCTATGGTAATCTTGTTCACTAAAGAGCGACATCCGCTTTCTAATCAGCCATGAGATTACGGAAACGTGCTATTGAACTGCCGGATTACTCTCGAAATTATGTACTGAGCGTCGGCTTTCCGCAGTACCAGGCGACAAACAGCTTCAATCTCATTAAATTTCAACGCAACGATTATAAAACAGCTCGCAGATGTTTGGCTTTCGGGAGGAGAAGGGGGGACGTATGTTAAAAATCCAAGTTTTTTTCTCAACTAGTTGAAAACAAACGGCTTATCAGGCCGTTAGCCTAGGATCATACTCCATAGCAAATTTAGATATTTCAGAAACACTACGATCGAACTTCCATCACATCTTTCGATAACCTTGCGTTCTCAAACCTCCTGGCCCTGAACCAAAAAACATCTCTTTGTTTCTTTGTTTCATTTATCACTCCACTTGACTGGATGGATAAGTGTCGTCGGTAAATTTTGTTTATTCTCAACCGCAGGAAGAGATTAAAAATTATCCGACGGTCATACAACAATTGATACTCTAACATGATGGAAAGCAAAGGCCGTATATATTAGCTTATCTTGGTGTGTTCATGCCGATTTTTCAAAAGTATACTATAGCATGTAAACATCAAATCGTAAGAACTCCTGCGGCTATGTGCAGCAGTAATTGAAGCTAATTTATGGGTGACCCACGTGCTTAGGACGTGATAGAAACTCAGGTCATGTATGGCGTGATGTGTTTATTAAAAAAAAATAATTCATTCTCAATTTGGAGTTGTATTTAAATTTTTCCTCGCTCTTCTTTTTCTGCGTGGAATGTTTGATACTTTATATTCCTTGTTGAATCTGTATTGAAACGCTGTGTATACCGCGCATTCTTGAGAGTAAACGGAAAAAGGCGTGTAAGTAGCTTTTATTAAAAAAACTTGAAGCTTCAAATTTGAACCGATTTTGAGTGGACTGTCCCCTAATTTCGCAAGCGCACATTCTTATACGCAGAAAATTCTTTACATATTTTGTGCTACACCTTGTTACTGATGGGTTAATTTCGGAAACAAGATATCGCAAGGAAGTGTTATTTGCGGAACTACTTGTAATAAATCATCATAAATCCTCGACAGAAGTTGGCGGTCCTTGTGTTGATTATTGATCGTTAAAGGATTGGACCTGCTGCAAAGTAACGCAATATTGCAGTCCATTACGTAAGGGCTGGTGTAGAAAATATGTAGTTAGCCTTTAACTCAAAGCTCAGGGTAAAAACCGACATGTACTCCTTGTTTCATCCAGGCGATTTGAGAAATTAGCGTGCCAATCGTGTGCCAATGCTAAAAGAACAACGACTCATGCGGAAGACACACAACACTCGCTGCGAAAGGAAGGCTACTTGTATCAGACACAGGGAAACGCTGGATTAACTTAACCTTAAATTTTAGGTAAACAAATTTTTTCCCTCTGTTTAGGGTCCCATCAACCGCCACATCTCCATTTTGTACAATCAAAACAAGAAATAGGGTTTGGAGTTTACTTCCCTATAAGCTCAAAAACGAACCCAACACATACGCTGCTAAACATCGTATTATATTACTATTACTGTACTGTAATAGGTTTATAGCCTTTGCCAATGTATGTAGGTAGAAATATTTCATTTACACAGTCATATGACATTTGAAAGACTCAGTAAGGTGTTGATACATTGCAAAGTGCCTCACCTGCAGCGATGTATATTGCTAGTATCACTCCACCAAATTTCATCGCGCTGATAGGTGTGTTGACTGTGCAGAGAAACAGGATGAAATTTAAGAAGATAGTAGAGTTGTGTTGGGTTTTAACTTCGCTCCGTCATTGTACTTTGTACTTATGTCATGTCATGTTATTCTTGGGTCCAATCCACGCTTGACACGAAATGTCAGACTGATCAAATTTGTTTTGAAATAGTTGAGCGCTTTTAAGATGAAAGAAATGCTTCGTATTATAATTTCTTCGTGGAATGAAGTCAATGTTGCTTCAGCGTTTTACGGAGGTCGCGCCTTCTGTGTACCAATATATTGTGGAAAAATCTCCGAGAGTATCTTTTGGTGAGTTTTACGGTGTTTTTCGAAATCATAGGGGTTCTGTTAATAATTTAACTCCTTTCCAGACATGATTGACACTTTTAAAAACCAAATGCCCAATAAAAAACCGAGACCGACCCGTCTGGACTCTTCTGTTTACGCTTTTGTTTTTTTTTTTTGTTTTGTTTTGTTTTGTTTTTTTTCAGTTGTGGTCTCCTTTTTTATCACCGCGTGGGAGGTGGCACATGATCGGAAAAATCACTATCCTCATATTTCGCTCAGAGATACCTTTGGGTAAGTCTATAAACGTGGTATAATTTTTTTGTTCAGAGCTGTTTTTATTTTCTAGAAAATCACCAAACACTGTATCGAGCCCCAACCGCCATAAAATGGCCGAAATGAAGTCGACGTGTAGGGCAACAAAACCTTTATTCCTCAAAAGCGCAAAAGAAAGCAAGTCTTTCTGAATTTTACCTATTTGTATACGAGGTATTAAAAAATGATTTGAATCTAATAACGGGCTTGTTGACATAACTATGAATTATTGGCGAATATTTGAAAATAGCCAAAATTTGATTGATTAAAAATTACATTTTGGAGCAGTTTTTCAATAAAAATTTTTCCTACCTGGTATAACTCGGAATCACTTGAGATGAGCATTTTTACAAAGTGGAAAGAATGTTCTTTCCATGGATATAAAAATTAATTTGGGGCTCTTAATTACTGCGAAGAAGTAGCCCGGTCTATTTTGTGCAAATCGCAATGCCGCCATGTAAACAACCGCAGATAATCCAATTAGGCTTTTTATTATCGAAGCCATAATTCCAACAAAATCTTATCGCTTTGACCTATACTAGATTGTAAACTGGATTTCTTAAGCTCACCTGGCGAAAAACACCTTTCTAAGATTGGTTCCTTGCCTCAATCTTGTTATAAAGAGACTTGACAACAGCTTCGATAGTACAGCACTACAGGCGGTGTATACCAAATCACAGTGAAAACATCTCACGAAGGTTCCTGCCGGAAACGTCGCATTGCTGGACAGTTATAACCATATTTCAGCTTGGAACACTCACATTTTACAAGTCTTCCTTTCACAATAAGAATGGAAGTTTGTTTTTTATAGAACGAGCCAGAGCATCCTGACAGATGAAATGAATCATTGACGTTCGTTTTTTGCGATGGTGTCACGCAATAACATGTCACTCGAAAGGAGGCTCGGTTACCAATATACTTATTTTCTTTCCTTCTTATCCCCTATTTTTTATTTCCGGGAAAAAGTTTTAAATCCAGAATTTAAAAATTACCGTTGTTTGCATTTTTTAAGCGCGATACCACTCATGCGTCACCCTAGACTGCTAAATGAATTAGGTATATGTTACTACAGCATAGAGGAAATTTCGCTGCATTAATTTTTATCGACGTAAAAAAATGTGTTATCCTATTTTGTAAATTGTGACGGCTTGCAGGGTAGACAGGTGCGGGAGTGGAAAAATTAAATTGGGAGTAGCTTTCTAAAATACTCAGCGCTAAAAAAATAAATTAGATTAGGCACAGTTTCTAACCATATAATGAGCGTCGCGCCATAAATTTTCCAAAGCAAACTAAAATGGTGTTTTCGTTTGGCCGCCGATTTTTTTAAGAGGTGAGCGTACCAAATGGAAATCAATTGCTCCTTTCAAAGATTAGTTGGGGGATGCTGCTCCCAAGATAAGCGAAGTCGAGTTGCAGGAAAAGCTTCTCTTATAGTCCCTCTGCGCTTATGTGAGAAAGACATCTCAGCACACAAACAGGCTGTGGGCGTGAATGATGTTGAATCGGAAGTCGATCTCATTTTAGCACGGGCATCAATATTCACGTTGCCTTCCAATATTTCGGACATGACTATCTGCCCAGCCCATCGCTCCTCTTTGGGCATTGGATGGCGAAGAGGCTCGCAACGGTGCCGTGTTCCATCCGAATTATCGAGGCATGCCAAGGAAGGGAAATCACGAAAGGGTGACCGTGGTATAAACAAAGCGCTTTCGAAGGCAATCCTTCGACGCACGGGAATATTCCTCCCTGTTGGGTCTGGTAAGTCTTTGTAATGTTGTTAATTTACAATAGGACGCTATGACAAACAGGACAAGAAGTTACTAGTAAAAACAAAATTGGCACATTTAAATTAGTACTACCACTGAAGCACACATTTAACCAGCCATTTAATTTTGTAGCGTGAGCTAGTTTAATCAAATTATTTTTTATCAGTGTGTTTTTTTTTTTGTTAACTTCTTGTCGCCAAAAACTAATACACCTCTTTCGTTATCTCACCATGCGGCCTGGGACCGAGATATTTATTTTGGTCAGGGGCTCAGGGCCACTCACTACACCGCAAAACCGCTCTTAGGGAAGAGTGATAGATTTAGGGGACGTTGTTGCGTTGTTGCGTTGTTGGTGCGAGGGGACGGGCAGGTGATTTGAAAAGCGAAAGGGAGGGTAGGATTAAAAAACTGTTTTTGTCTCTGTCAATAGACCATTTTACAGTTCTGTGATATTTAACCAGGCCTCTGTATGAAAGCGAGGTTTGTGTTGACCTTGACACGATAGAGATCAAAAACTGGTTAGCATAACAATTAAAGGATTTGCATATCAAAAGTAACAGGGTTTGTATCAAAACAAGGTCAACTTGAGCCTCACGTAGGTGATGTATATAATCACGGAGCACTAGACAATTAACTTCCAGTTGTTTTAGTTAACTGGGAAGTTCGTCATTTGAGAGGTTACGCATGACGTTTGTTTTTCCCGCGAACGTCAAAAATTCAATTTCTGTCGTCTGTCTTTAGGCGTGTGTACACGGAATTAAGTAGGTTTGTGTTTGTCGTGAATGTGTTATTTTATTTTATTTTATTTTTTTGTGCAGGATCTTTTTAAGAATTCCATAAATAGGTAACAAAATGAAAGGCAAGCTTGCGTTTGCCGTTTGCCGTTAAACGTCATGCTTAAAGTGCCTATTGATAAATATAATCTTTGCAAGCGCGAAGTCGTGGAAATAGAGTCGATAACAACGCATGTATAGTCAGTACCAGGGGGTGACTAAATTTACGAAAACGTCAAAAAGTAGTTTTTCAGAATGGCACTGATTCAAAACACTCAAAAGAGATCTACAGCGTTTTTTAAGTGAATTCGCGCAGGTTTTTGTTTAAAACATAACACTGACTAAGAAATAAATATTAGTTGGCCCTGCACTCGGTACAGCGATGTCTGCATACTGGAGTTGTATGGAAGCAGAAATAAGTCAAGAGTTGCGATGGTCTGCGATGATTTATGAACAGCTTCGAGTATTGTAAATGGTCAAGCCGGACGTTGTAAACACTTTTCAAGTGAACATGGCGATTTGAAACAAAAATGATGGAAACATCACTCCTTAATCACTGGTTTCATAAGGTAAGGGTAACATATTGAGTTTCTGATAAAGCACAGCTCAAAGCGGTAAGATTTGCAGAAATTATGGCTTCGATAATAAAAGAATAGTTGGATTATCTGCGGTTATTTACACGGCGGCGTTGCGATTTGCACGAAATAGATCGGGCTATTTCTTCGCAGTAATTAAGAGCCCCAAATTAATTTTTATATCCTTGAAAAGAACATCGTTTCCAATTTTCAGAAATGCTCATCTCAAGTGATTCCGAGTTATACCGAGTAGGAAAAATTTTTATTGAAAAACTGCTCCAAAATGAAATTTTTAATCAATCAAATTTTGGCGATTTTCAAATATTCGCCAATAATTCATAGTTATGTCAATAATCCCGTTATTAGATTGAAATCATTTTTTAATACCTCGTTTACAAATAGATAATATTCGGAAAGACTTGCTTTCTTTTGCGCTTTTGAAGAATAACGTTTTTGTTGCCCTACTCGTCGGCTTCATTTCGGCCACTGTTATGGCAGTTGGGGCTCGATACAGTGTTTGGTGATTTTCTAGAAAATAAAAACAGTTCTGAACAAAAAAATTATACCACGTTTATAGACTTACCCTAAGGTATCTTTGAGCGAAGTATGAAGGTAGGGCTTTTTCTAGGCATGTGCCACATTTTTTTGATTTCACGCGGTCTCCAGAAAAATTCTCTCTTAAGTTGAGTCCGTTCTTAGTCAAACCGCTGATCGATTCATACATTTATTCGAAATGCCTCACGTACCAGGTTACGAAAGGTTAGTAGAGTCATCGAGTAAGATGCAAACAAAAAATCTGTTGTGCTCTTGTAACCTTCTTAGCAAAAACAACTTTTTTATTACCTAGCGCAAGGTAAGTGTGAAATTATAATAGAAAAGTCTATTGTTTGTACTTGCGACTTTTTTTAACAACAACAGCTCGTGTAAGTGTAATAGTTTTTCCCCAATGTTAACACGGAAAACATACTTTATTAGTTTGGGTACGAAACTATCGAGCTAGGTACGAGACGACTCAACTGACTGGGTACGAGATGACCTGACTGGGAACGAAACGACTGTGGGTACGAAACGAATGGGTACAAAACGACTGTGGATACGAAAGAACTGTTAACCGGTGTACTCACTAAAATTTCACGAAAAGAACCTCCTACATGACTCTACGTGGCTGACTCCTCAAAACCTCATTTTAATTTCACCTCTTTGAACAATTATATCGTACCTAAAACAGTATCTTGACATACGAATTTTTCTGAGATACGGATTAAAATTTTGTCATAGGACCCCTCATTGGCCTTTTTTTGTGGGGTTTGCTTTTACATTTAAGGCCTCGCAGCTAACAAAACTGCTGACATTAGCAGAGGGTACATTGAAGAAGGCGAAACAAAGCATGCATCGTTGTTCTTTACTTGTCCTCCTCGTTTAATGTGCTTGTCACATGATTTCTGTTTGCCACCACTCAAACACAGCGCATGATCCATGACATGGAAGAGGTACTGTTGTTCGACCACACCGTGAAACAGGTAGGCCCCAGGCCCGTCCGCGTAAACTCCTGAATGGATCAAAAAAAATAGCGATTACTTTCATTTTACCTACAACGAAGGTGACTGAAAAGTGAACATGTTTGGAAGTACTTCCTGAAAGACCCCAAAACTTCAACTTATGTTGCATGCGCTCTACGAATTAAGAAATTCCAGCAACAGTAACGTGTGCATACATCTTTAGAATTCTCATGTATTCAATTTCAGCTTGGAAATCAGGTGACTCCGCTTAGCGCTTTCCCCGGGAACAGAACGCTCAATCGCCAGTTATTGCTATTGATATCCGTTCTCCTTATCCTCTGGGCGATCAATGGGCATTGAATAGAATGCATGAGATTTAAGATGTCCAGTGAAAAAAAATTTCACTTAGCTGAGATACACAAATAAAATTGCACCACCGGCAACGTCTGGCAAACGTTATGTTAAATAAGGCTCAGCGACTACACTGTAATTTATTGGTAATTTGCTTTAACGCATGCGCTCACCAAAATCAAGGCTTCATTTTAAAATTTAAGTCCAAAGTCTGAGCATTTAATCATAATCGACTTCTAGCTGCAGTGTATTTCTTATAAAATAATTCATGAGGAAGGTGATGTTACATCATGGAAATATCAACATGATTATAGTTTTTTTCCCATATTGCCATTGAAAGTTACATCGATGTCAATTACTTTTTGAAGTTTAAGTCTTTGACATCATTTCAGTGCTTACCAACATCTTCAACTCCATGAGTCTCATAACTTTGTCGGACAGTAGCTTGTTGTAAGAAATCCTTGTGTGCTGTGTTCACCCCTCTAAGGTCTGCACGTGGCCCATTTAAACCTCCTGGACCATTAGCGTAACCAAGGGTCGTGAATGTCTTGTTTTCCACATCCACAGCCAATTCTTCAGTCAGAAAACGTACTGTACCAAATATTGGGTTTCCCCGCTTCGGGTACCCGCCGACGGTAAAAACGTGTGAGTGGTCAGCGGTTACTGTTACAAGGGTTTCGTCTGGTGGAGAGAAAATATATTAACTGCATAACTATGTCATGTTGGGCCGTTTTCTCATGGGAAAATAACTAAGACAGTTTACATGAACAGTTTTCCCTCCACTACGACGTTTACTTCAACTGCTTGAAGACTCTTAGTGTTTTTGTAACTTCTACGGACGCGAAGGTTCGGAAATCATTAATAGACATGAATCGTGCATATTTTAGGCTCTGCTAATCTCGTTGACCATGTATTACTCGCGATTCTTCCGTGACCACTTGAGAGAAGTAATACTAAAATAACCAAGAATATTGAGCAGGTAACGTACAGAGACTAATTGGAAAGAACTGACACATAATATTAAACCGAAACTCTCAAAAATACCCAAAAATATCTTCCGTGGGAACTAATCTTTAAATAAAAACCCTTAACCGGCCAGGTAATCAGTATTTGTAAATATGGAAACCACATCCTCTATGAATAACCATGGAATGTAAACTCAAATTAAAAAAAGCTCTTCAGTTCTAGAAAACATGTCACAGATCTTAAGCACGAACGCCCGGAACATCCCGAAAATACTATAAAACAGACAGGACAATATACAATATATTGCTTATCCAACCGAGAGCAAAACTGAATTTTCTTTTTGCGTGCCGCGTTATATAATTGAGCTGAAAGGGAGAACTGGCAAAGAGAATTTCAAACTATAAAAAAAACTTTCTGTTGCATGTAAAGACTTTTTATGAGTGGGTGAGAACAAATAACCAATACTCTAATCCATTTTTTTCCTCCTTTTTCTAGAATGAGATGGAAGCAATGAGATGCGAAGGGCCTTCCTAGAAAGTCACACATGGAAGAACGTGCAATTGTTGTTTTAGTACCTTTGTTAATCATTTCCATGGCCTTAGACACCGCTTTATTCAAAGCTACGGCATCGTGAAGAGCTCTGACTGCTTTGCCATCATGATGTCCGTGATCAATACGTCCACCTGAAAAGCCAGTTCAATATTGAGAGTACTATTGCCATAAAAAGCGAAGTGAAGTTGGCAGGCTCTATTTGAACACACACGGTTATTTGAAATGAGCTGTCAATACTCCTGTTCAAAAAATGAATATAAAAGCGATCTTCGCAGTAATGAACAGTACTTAAGCAGTAGCAGTATTACACTACACCGGAATCGCAGAGGTCATGGGTTCGTTCAAATCCCATACAGGCCCAGATTTTTTCAGGCCTTATTTTCACTACTGCTTAAGCAGTGTTCTTCACTGCGACTATCGCTTCCATATTAATTTCTTTATCCGCAGTTCATGTATATGATTTTCATATATTTACAGTCACTTAATACTCCTATTATAGCAAGACATATCCTGTTGGTTAGGGGATATCATGCAATGATTGACGTCGCCTGAAGTAATGTTTTCTAATTCCTCAGAATGACGAGCGTCTTCGAAGGGAAAAAGGTTTTATCTTCAACCAAAATACCACGCCAGCTGGAACTTTAACGAGAGTTTACCTAACGCAGCTTTACCATCCGATACTCAACTTTCGAAATTTAATTTTTTTCACGTTACAAACAGAGAACATTTTAAAATAAGTAAACTAAAAATACAATTTTGTCTTTAAAATTCCCTGTCATTTTTCGTAAAGCCCGAGTTTAGCTCGCTCGCTCATCTGCCAAGAAATTCGTTCCTTGTGTTCCTTAGTTGGCGAAGGCATAAAACTGACGCTTGGGATATTTCGGCAAGATAATGGGTGCGTTGTGGGAAGATTTTTTTTTACTTGCCATTGTTTCGCAATTTTCTGAACACGAGCAACTATATAAAATAAACCCTCAAAACCGGGCCCTGTTCGGTTGATGAAAGGCCAAAATTTCGCAAACAGACAAAGCAAGGTTTTCCATTTATCCCCATCAGCCTTCGCTTCTACCTGTGATTTTGTGATTCGATTGAGAAGCAGAATTAAAATAGATATACATCCTAAGTACCTTCGACAAACAGGAAGTATCCTTTTGGGTTTTTCTGAAGTATTTTGATGGCTTTTTCAGTCATCTCTGCTATTGATGGTTCGCCAGCGCTGTCGTTGGCTCGGTCCACTTCGTAATTCATATTGGAGTACTCAAAAAGTCCTGGGAAAAAAAAACAAGATTTTTTTATCATATGCCGGCCGAGAAAAAAAGAAGATCCTCCAAATGAAAAATAAAATTGTTCTCCAAACTTAAATTTTAACGGAATCTTCGATGCATATTGCACAGGCCCTTAAATCCCTTTTGAGGCAAAAACACGGTACCCTGACTTTTACAATGGATCTTTCTGTGGCTATCTCTATCTCCTACTCTATAACTTACGAGGCTTATGGATTTTTCCCAGCATGACTTCTCAAAGGGTAAGGCTGGTATTTCTTCCCTGAATAGGATGCTAGTCTACCCATCGCAAACACCCATTTGTACAAAAAAGTCCCAGCTGGAACGTAACCTCTCGCCCTAAAGAACCCCCTACCCCCTCCACCCAACAATCTCTTAATATTTCCCGACAAGATTTCAGCGCGCTAACGATTAGATTTTCTGCTTTGATTGTGCAGAGAAATCGAGAGAATAAAAAGAAAGCAGTTTGACTGATTAAATACCCATTAAACGATTAGTCTTTTCTACATCAATCTTGTCAAAACCGGATTTGTTCCACACGTAATGCGAGTTGGGATGTTTCTCCAGCCACTCCTGAATCAGGTCTCTGCCGTCAAGTCTCTCTCCTTTTTCATCCAGGTATTCAGGATCTGTTTGGTTTTTGTGCATCAGCTCTCTTCGCCCCCCACCAAATATGACGTCTATTCCATTACCGTACGGGTATTCGGCAAGTTGTAAGGCTAAAAAAATGATTTGTTTTAAGTTTAGCTCACTTTCATCCTGTCTACAAGGTTACAGCTGATTTTTCCAGCGGTAGATATAGCTTGCTAAATAGGTCCTCTTTATTATTGGCGCTACGGCACGAGCGTTTCTTTGACCGCTGGAAAGATTAAGGCTTGAGCAAAGAGAGCTAGTGAGAGGTTTCTAAGGAGTCTGGCACTAGCAGTCGGTCCCAGACCCCTTACAAGGCTCTCGTCGGCTACTCTAAATAGAAAAGGCAGAATACACACCGTCTTCTGAGGTAGAGCGCATATCCTGGTGTAATGAGATTGAAAGATGCTAGCGGACAGGAAGTGGGTCAACTATATCCTACATGCAATGTGAAAATGAAAATTTGTTTGCTTTGAACATCAGCAAAGAAACTTTCTCAACGCTGCATGTTAAGAAGAAATTTCCAAAATAGAATTTCTCCTGACAAAAAGCCTTTTCAAATCCAGCATTTTGTTTCCCAATACACTGGCAAATTTCTTCCCTAACAAGCCCCTTTTATTCCAAAAAAAAATTTTGCTTGTCACCATCCATCTATATTTAAACTGTCGAGGAAACTTTTCTTCGTGATGAATAACGTTAAATTTTACCAATATCTTTGCACGACGTAGCATCGTCATAAGCTTTTGCCTTTTTATCCGCGTCACTTTCCCAGCGACGGTCCACAGAGTGCGCGTAAGCACTCGCGGGACTCGCGTGTGTAATCCGCGTGGTCGTGACCAGACCAGTTGACATTCCAGCTAACTCTGCGAGTGACAAAATCGAAATCACTTCACGTTCTTTTTTTGCAGATGCGCATCGACCCCATTCGACGTTTTCATCCATTCCAACAACACCTGAAAAGTGCATAGAATTAGTTATACTCATGTCTATAAATGGCGCACTGCCCACTTCCCTCTGAGAGAGGAGGTAAGGTTTCCGATTTCGGCATGGGATTGCGCGTAGTCCTGGATTGTCTATTGTGCCGTGTGTCTGGATACACAATTACCGTGCGTATCACCGCCCGGTATCAACATGTATAAAAATTGCGTAGCTATGAAACATTGGGCGGCGGAGCCGCTAAACGAGTGGCAAAACTGCTACAGGCTTGGAAGCGGAGTTAATCGAAGTTCTACTTCTCGTTTATCCTGGTCCGTCGCCCTTATTTCCATAGAGTTTTTCCTTCAAAAACGCTTCTTATTTTGCTTTTACCGAGATCTATTCCACCCATCGCAAGATTTTGTGCTGAGTGATTTCTCCTAAACTAGGGATACAAAATAAACCAACCACCCCAGCAAGCATCGGTTACCCAGTATTAGAAGGATAAAATTTTCGAGGAACGTGCTAAGTGCTAAGGGTGACCTGCAATGCTCTAACATTCCATCCAAGTGGATTGGCAATACTCTCAGTCCGCTAACCATACCACAAGGCTTGTTGGTAACTTTCAAAAGGTAAAGTACTAAAGCAATGTTGAATTGATTTTCGAAAGTAATCTGGGATCGCTTTCAGTTTTGCTTTACTTCGCTCTGCAATTGCTCCGGAAAATCATGCCATCCTCTCAGTCAACCAGATTAAAAACTAAAACAAATCCTGCCACTTAATCATATGCGTTCTCCCGCACTTGAAACAGTTTGTTTGTTTTTACTTTTCGTCCTCACTGCCTACTTGCAATGTTTTCATTTCTTCTAGTTGGATGTTGCGATCAATTTTCTTTTGGTTTTACGACTCTCAGTCAAAATGCGCTTTATTTATAATCAGTCGATATCTTTTTTACTTACCCTGGTCTGTTTTCACTCCAGACAGAAACGCCGTGGCAGAGCTTGCAGAATCTGGACCCTGTTGATCGACAGCATAAGTCTTGACCAGAGCTGTCCAGGGAAACTCCTCCCAGCTCAACACATTCTCTTCACCAGTTTTCCCCTTCAGCTGTCCGTCTAAGATACGTGAGGAGGTAACAGTCGTAATACCCATTCCATCTCCCATGAAGAGGATGGCGTTCTTAGCAGTGTTCGTGTTTGGTTTAACTCTTAAGTTGTCTTGGATTAGCTTCATGCCATCTTTGTACCACTTGTTGTTGTCTTGATTTTTTGGAATGTTGCCAACGACGACTAAGGAGTCAAGGATACTTAGTTACCTCATGCAATCTAGACTACGAGCGATCTTTCCCTTACAGCGAAGTCCGTCTCCCGAGTAAAAAGATAAAAACAGCGAAAAAAAAAGTTTAATGCAAGCACGCCGCGTGGAACCCTAGGAGTAAAGAGGGTTTGGCGTGCTAAAATCAATGTTTTTCTTTCGTCGCTGAATTTTTTTGACTTGCGCTACGGATTTCGCCAAATGCAGGGACTTCTCGTAGTCTACATAAAATCCTGTAACCTTGTTAAAATAGTCTTACGAAGAAGATGCACATCTATATATACTCCTTATTCGATTGTTTCATCTGTCAGGAATACGGACGGGTATTTTGCGCGTTGAGATACTTTTTCGAGTCCCGTAAGGGCGAGGAAAAATAAGAGTAGTGTGCAAAATTTCGGCCGTATTCTTAGTTAAATAATCGAATATGGGATTTGCTGTTCTTCTATTATTTAATTTCAGTTTGTGATATTTTGGCTTCTCAATATACAGTGTACAGTCGAACCTGTATAAAGCGGCACCCTGTGCTAAGGGGCGGTAGCCAAAGTCCGAATTTGTTTCCCCTTCTCATCACTGTAGTTTTTTGGTCGCGGTCACCTTCGAGTGAAACCCAACGACCTGTTTCTATTGTTTACCACCTGTACTGAACGATCACTTAAATCGGAATTCAAATCAAACTAAGAAAAATCTATCAGGTAAAATTTAATCCATATTTCTCTCCCGAAATCAATATAAGTAATATGTTTGAGCGCGTTTTTGTACATTAATGGTCTACTAAGGCATAAAATGGCGTTTTTTATAATGTTTTTTATTACACCCCTATTCTGTGGAACCCGTATTAAGCGGTCAACATTCCTATGGGTGACCGCTTAATACAGAATTGACTGCATTTAGGTCTTGGTTGTTTTTCAAACGTTAATTTATTTTCCGTATTAACTTATTTGTCCAATTGAATCATTGGTTAATAAGGTAAAGTCTGAGCAAGAAATCACATTTACAGCTACTTCACATTACGTCATGTAGCTGTCAGACAGTCTCGTGAAGCGATTGTCGGAATCCGTGATTGGTACTTGCGCTATTCGACACGATCAGTTTATCGGTGGCCGGAAACATCAGAAATTAGAACACCAAGTCTTTTAATTTGTTTATGAATTACTATGATCACATGCACGACAGAGCGTACGTGTCAAAAAGGTGCTACTTTCACGTCTTTTAGAACAATTGCCTTCTCTTTTAATGGCGGTTGCTTTTAGTTTATAACATAGTGATGTTGTGATGAACACTGTAGCTTTTTATTTGTTTATGTGAGTGGGTACGAACACGCGAGACCAGCAAAGAGCATAAATTAATCAAATCAAACATCACAGAATGGGATCTGCTTACCGGGCGCCGCATAGAAATCTTCAGTGTAAAAATCTCTAAGCTTATAACTTTCTTTACATGCAAGGCGTACCGCTGTGCAAACGTCGTTAAGATACAACCACATGGTTGTCAACGATTACATATGGCAGGAACCTGCGTCTTCCATTGTGAAAATTTAGGTCTTACATTTCTCTTCCAGCCATGGAAATATACTGGTTTTCATTATCGACTGCAATAACTTCCGAATGCAGTTTTCAAGAATTTTCATAGTTTTAGAAAGACTAAATGGGTGTGACTGTTTGCAGCGCATAACGTGAATTAAAACGTTAAGCTATTGACGCCGTACTTGAGTGACGCAAATCTACGGCCTACTATGATTGAATTGTGGTGTTAAGAGCAATTTTCAAACTGAAACTTACCCAGTATGAAGCAAAGTATCAAATATAAACGCAGCATATTCTTTTTAAGCTGTAACAAGCTTGGTTGAGCACTTGACACAGTATAAAAGTGCATGAGGTACCATTCAACGCCCCCTTTTTAATCAACAAAGGGAATAAGACGAGTAATAAGTTAAATATTTCATCCGCCCGGGTAGGCGACGCCGGAAAATGGATTGCAGGCGCTGACCGCAGGTAGCCCAGGGTCGCACAATAAGCTTTGTTAATGTTCGATCCGCTTAGCCGTACCGGAAATGGCATTAGGGACCTTAAGCAAACCACGACGGCGACGGCAACGAGGACATGGAAAAACAAAAGATCTAATTATCAGAACAATAGCTCAGCACGTGCGTTTCAAAACTTTGTACATTTCTTAGCCGTCGTATGCAAGACAACAACGTGAAATCACCACAATCTGCGTCGTCTGCGAACCGAAACCGCGACGGCAAATTATTTTAATTTCCATTTGGAACTCAACGCTTCTTTTATACGTAATGCTGAAGTTGAGGTATAGCGCCTTATGAGACGGTAAACAAATGCAGGCATTCTAATTAAAGGCAGAAATTAATTTTTTTAATCAAAGTCTTCCTTGGCGTTGCCGTCCTGAACACCATTTAAGGTCATACATACGGTACGGTCGTACATACGATCGACCCTTAAGGCCAATATTTTTTTTTATACTTTTTCCAAGTCGAGTTTAACTTCACCGTTTTAAAAATAGTTTTCATGAACTAATTTTGTAAAATATTTAAACACGCGCCAGTTATTCGCAAAAACGTATTTTCGAACTGAATTCTTCAGTCTGCCGAAGTGTGAAGAGCCAATTATAACGTGTTACCATTATGACTCCAAAGATGTTTTTGGCGGCAAAACATCCATGTTCGTGACTTTCAATAGCACAAGAATTTGATTTCAGTTGCACATGGTGAACTTCCCCATAATTTCTAGGTATCTAACCAGACTTTTAATAGGGAAGTATAAAAGAAGAACAATCCTTCTTTCAAACCCTAGAAGAAGCATACTTGAAAGAGCCAGACATTTAATAAATTCGACGACGAATGGCGTAAAAATCTCTCCGAAACAGAGAAGGGCTCGTATCGCTGCTGCTACTGATCAGCGACCATCAACGGGCTCAAGACACTTAAACCTCGAAATCCAAATTGCCGGCAAGTGGAACTGATCTAAAGACTGTCACGCACACCTCCTTAATTGCTTCCCGCGACCCATGTTTTTCTTGATAATTTCCCACGATAAATCGTGTGGGGAATTTCCTTTTTTCGCGATTAATCTCCTGTACTGGGCTCCGACGAAGGGCGTATCGGCTAAACTTGACAGGAAAATTGCAAACCAATCAATAGGAAATCGGTTGGCATGTACTAAAACAGAGACAATAGACGATTTTGTGACAGAACGTAATCACGAAATGTAGAATGTTCCGTCACAAAATCCGTCGTCCACCATCTACACGATAGTCTGCTATTGCAGCTGGGATGCTTGTCTGCGATGCAACCTCGTAGCTTATATACTTCATCCTTTTTAAACCCTTTAACTCCCAAGATCTCATAAGTAATTCTCATTACTGTCTGCCATAAGTTCTTGTGATGTTAGTTTGGAGAATTTGGTATTAGATCAACTTACAATCTCTTGATTAATATTTTTCTTTAAATAACGAGCTTTGCGTCGGAAATAAAGTTTATGCAAATTAGCTGGCTGCACATTGAACGTGCAGCCAGCTAATTGGCATAAGTAATTTAAGCCAAGGTTCGACGCCTCTTGGTGGCATGAGGTGTTCGCTAAACATTCCAGGACATCCGATAATCGCTTCAAAAAATGTAATTATGCTCCCCTCGAATGAAATGGAAAAAACCGCAACTTCCGATGATTACAATTCTAATCATTTTCAAGATGCAACTCTACTTTGTTCACTCATTTTCCAGAAACAAGAGTCCAGAGAAATGTCTCATACAAACTTAACGGGTCTAATTCGAAAAAACTTAAAGGGCGGTACGCTAAGCTTATTTTCTCTGTAGAGAAAATACATGTGTTAAAGAAGACAACAGTAAATCGTTAACACAAGGTCCACGAATATTCCTGACCAAATGTTACAGAAACATATAACAGGAACAATTTAAAACACGTAAAACGAAGAAACTCAAAAATAGCCTAAAAAGCGGCACCGGTAAAGCTGATTTCACCTCCATGATCGAAGATCTCGGCCCACGTAAGGTTAACTCCGACAAACCCTTCTTTATACAGGTCATGGTTTTTAACTTTTAAAGTCCAGAAACTGTGTTGATTAGATAATCCAGAGAATACACATCGCTTTCCAACTGATGGTCTCCTCGTTCGGTCTTCAAGCTTCGGCGCAATGCAATTATTCTTATAATGACCTTTTGTGTGCGAAGGTTTCAGTTTGGAACGGCATTTTTAGCTTTTCCGAAGACATCAGTCTTGCCAAAATCGACTATAACAGGGGAGAAGCTGGTCTAAAACATCGTTATTGCATTTTAGGTCATTGGGAACAAATTCACACGTATGAATATCGTCTCACGCGATTGCCGAGTTAGGAGGGATAAGAAAAGGTTGAAAATAACCCTCAGGTATACACTACCCAAGAGGGTATAAAAGAGATTAAAATAACCCTCAGGTATACGCTACCCAAAAGGGTATAGGAGAGATTAAGAATAACCCTCAGGTATACGCTACCCAAAAGGGTATAGGACAGATTAAAAATAACCCTCAGGTATACGCTACCCAAAAGGGTATAAAAGAGATTAAAATAACCCTCAGGTATACGCTACCCAAAAGGGTATAAAAGAGATTAAAAATAACCCTCAGGTATACTCTACCCAAGAGGGTATGCAAGAGATTAAAAATAACCCTCAGGTATACTCTACCCAAGGGGGTGTAGGAGAGATTAGGAATAACCCTCAGGTATACACTACCCAAGGGGGTATAGAAGAGATTAAAAAATAACCCTCAGGTATACACTACCCAAGAGGGTATACAAGAGATTAAAAATAACCCTCAGGTATACACTACCCAAGAAGGTATAGAAGAGATTAAAAATAACCCTCAGGTATACACTACCCAAGAGGCTATGCAAGAGATTAAAATAACCCTCAGGTATACACTACCCAAGAGGGTATAGGAGAGATTAGGAATAACCCTCAGGTATACACTACCCAAGAGGGTATGCAAGAGATTAAAAATAACCCTCAGGTATACACTGCCCAAGAGGGTATAGGACATATTAAGAATAACCCTCAGGTATACACTGCCCAAGAGGTTAAAGAAGAGATTCAAAATAACTTTCAAACATACACTACCCAAGAGGGTATGCAAGAGATTAAAAATAACCCTGAGGTATACTCTACCCAAGAGGGTATGGAAGAGATTAAAACTAACCCTCAGGTATACGCTACCCAAGAGGGTATAGAAGAGATTAAAAATAACCCTCAGGTATACACTACCCAAGAGGGTATGCAAGAGATTAAAATAACCCTCAGGTATACACTACCCAAGAGGGTATGCAAGAGATTAAAGGTAATCCTCAGGTATACACTACCCAAGAGGGCACGAAAAATTGAATTCACACTAATTTATATCAGGAGACCGCTCTTTGTCTGGACTCTTTCTTTTGACTGAAAGTTGAGGCATCCACCATTAACTTATATAATTATTATCCTTTACTAGTTCCCGAATGTCTTTGTCAAGCTCGGCTATTCTTGACTGACATTATTGCAATTTCCCATGATATTTCGACTGGAGGCATTTCCCGCCTAAAGTGTACGGTCGAGGGCGATTTGATTTACCGCATCAACAACAAGATTATGTTTTGAGACCTCGCGAATCCATCTGCTGGATTTCTCCCTGTCTAATTAGTCCGGCACAGAGACCACTTGAAGATATAAAATGCATATTGTTTGGTTACCTGGCGTTGAACGAACAGCCTTTGTGGGCGCGCTTGAGACCTGCTGGCGGGACAGAACGTATTGTAGTCATCGCGGAATCGACGAAACAATTCGTTCTTTGCAAAAGCTTTCGGCCTGATTTCACATTAACTTTTCTTTAGCACATAACAGGACTTTTTGGGGTCGAGATTGGATCCCGTAACTATAGAAAGCTCAGCCGATCGATGGAAGACTTCAGCCTCCATGATAAGATCGCGCCAAGTGATTTCGATGCCAAATTTCTTGTGTTTTCGTGATTGAAATTCGAGCATAGATGCAGTATTAACTATTAGGTGAACCTTTAACTTATAATCAACACGTTTAAGTAACCGCATAGACACCTACCGACCGCAAACGTTGATGTAATTCTCTACACTGATGACAGAAATATAGCGCCTCCGTAGAATGCACGCTGCGAATTTTTTTCGGGGGGGGGGGGGGGGGGGCTCATCACTTGTCTGCTTGATATTGTACTAATATTGTAAGGAGAAATTCTGTCTTGGTAACTCATGGGAATTGAAGGGTTAATTTAGCATTTAAAACAGAATGTAACTCTCTTCATATTGGTAAATATTTTTATTTTAAATGAAACTCTATCGGGGGAAGGTACTTAATCTATTCTCCCAAAGGTCATTATTTGGCGACCATACCGCTGTCAAGGAGCCAAAATGACCCTGTACCCGAGATTGAGAGCGACACGATCGATCAATGAGACCGTAGTTCATCTCGATCAAGACCCCGCAGCAAGGTGCTCTATAATCGAATATGATGTCATCCTTTGTGAGAAGGGGAAAAGCGGAGTAAACTAATATTACTGGAATGATTTAAGATGCCGGGACAGCAGAAAAGAGCAGAGTCTTTCGAAGCTGAGAGAATCAACTTGGTAAGTCATTCATCTCGGCCTTATCCGCATTACGCTTTTAAGCGTAGGATGATTTGTAAAAACAAAGATATTGTGGGTACAGTTTAAAATTACAGCAGGCTTCTCTGTAATGGAGAAAAGCGCAAAGTATAAGCGATGTGAGGAACCTCTTGTGTATTGGCTGCCAGAGAAGTGAAACTAAACTTAAGCGTACTCATTACTGTTACGGGTAATTTGTCTGTTTAGAAGAAAGTGGCGTTAAGTGTTCTTGTGAAAGGAATCCAGTCTGTGTAATGGTTCGCACTATTCGGTGATGGAGTTCGTAACTCATGGCGATATTTTTTACCGCCAGATTTTTACTCCTAATGTCGCCGAAAATGGCGATATCGCTTCATGTTTTGCACTAGACGCAAATTAGGTTTAAAGATAAGAAATGCCTTTTTGTTTTCTTCTTTTTTTCGACTTTTCTTGCTCAAAACCGGAAAAACCACAAATTGGAAAGAGAATTGCTTCGCCTTTAATCAGTTAACCTGAAAAGCTCGAAAAACATTCCAGTTCAAAAACTAAATCGATCGAATTTCCACTGATACAAGACCTTATGCTGACATTCAATGACTTATTGTTAGATCGATTTGGTTCTCCAACAATAGTATAGAAATAAGAGATACATCTATTGTGACAATTTGACAACTGGCAGAGACCAGAGATTGAAAAAGTCGGAATACGTGATACAGCACAGGCAGCCCAAGCTCACGTCTCGAGAAGAAGCCAATGACAGGAATAACAGTGATGGTAAAGCAAGCTTAAAACGGCAGAAATCGCCAGAAACTACAACGGACACACAGGATGTGAGTAAGTGTCATTGATTGACATGTAAAATATTCATATTTCGAAATATTTATCGTTGTAAATCGACCATATTTCGTTCCCTATACTATTCCTTATAACGTGTTCAAATTTTCAACGGTTCCTCTCGTAACACCGAGTCACACAACGCGTGACGCGTTTATGAATTAATCGTTGGCTTTTTCTCGAGACGTGAGCTTGGGCCGCCTATGGATACAGCGATCTTATGGAGCAACTTTGAACCATTGCTCAAAACCGCATGGTTATAATCTCACTTGGATTTGCAAACAGTGCGTGCGTGCACAGGCAGCCCAAGCTCACGTCTCGAGAAAAAGCCAACGATTAATTCATGAACGCGTCACGCGTTGTGTGACTCGGTGTTAAGTTACAAGAGGAACCGTTGAAAATTTGAACACGTTATGAGAAATAGTATGGGGAACGAAATATGGTCGATTTACAACGATAAATATTTCGAAATAGGAACATTTTTCGCGTAAAATCAATAAAACTTACCCATATCCTATGAATAACAGTCTTTTGACATGAATAACAGTGATGGAAAGAAATAAAACTTTTTTTATGATTTAATAAAAATGATAACCTCAAATCACGTTTCCGAACTTCTAAAAATGCAACTTGAATCGAGAAGCCGAAATGTTCACACCCAGAGAACCCTGGTGGGTTCATTTCAACACACGCTGTGACCACGCAAAATAGCATCGGAGGCAGCATTATTGGTAAGCCGCGCATTTGCGTTGGTCTTCACTTGGTTTAAAGTAGCCATTGCTCAGTCATTGTGCTTGTCCTCAGGAGCTCTTCAACATACAGTCCACACATCAACCATAGTGGCCAAGATAGTTTCTTTTATTTTTTTCGAACTCCAATATTTCGGTCCGGACTAGAGTCTCGCTCGAACAAAAACAGCAATACTAATCCGGTCAGTAAACTGCAGACTGCAGACCGGGAACAAAATGCAGACTAGGTACAAAATGCAGACTGCAGACTGGGTACAAAATGCAGAAAGAGAATTTATACTGTTTTTCTCGTCTGATACGCGATAAGATGTCATCTTACAACTTACCGAGCGTCACGCAATCGCTTTTCCACGATCATCTTTCAAGATTATTCACACTGTTGTGGAATATTCCTTGCCCGTTTCTTGACCACAATCGTTCTTAATATAATTTAAAGCCTTCATATAGTCTTCTCACTTCGCGCGCGAGTTGGCTGGTGGGATGACTGTAGAGAATTTACCAGCTAAATAAATGTTGATGAAGATGTAAATGAGATGTCACTATTGAATATTTAAGATGCGCAATATTCGAGAAACAGTTGACACCTTTGCACGTGGTCCGTACGTTTCATCTTTTTAACCGACGGATCTTGTTCGTCTGATAGGATTAATGACAAAGGAAGATAGAAAAATTGTATATACTTTATGCCCAGAGGGAAACGTGAAGCAAGTGGCGGATAATTCGTGTTAATCAGTAAGTATCATTTAGAACTAGAACAAGTCTACTTAAAAGGCACGTGTGTGACTCAACAAAGGAGGATCAAAAAAAGGAATTGGCGATATTTTCACTGACAATTATAGTCCATTAGATGCTGTTTAGCATTCGCATGACAAAAACCAAAGAAACGGGAAAGCCCAGCGTACAAATCTTGATATAAAAAAAAATCTAATAAATTAGACTGCAGTATGCAGTCGAAACGTCGCGATCTACATCACACGTGACTACATCGTGAGACAAAACGAAAAGTTAGCTTTTATTGTTATTCACCACGATGAATAACCACAGCCTTTTTTACGAAATCTAATAAACTGCTTGTATGATCCGGTAAAAACTCCATCAATAAGAAGCAGTTGCTACTACAACCACCTCCCACCCCTCCATGCGTATTAATAGTCCGTCTCCCACCCCTCCCTGAGTGATAAAAGTCTGCCTCATACTAATGATCTTCCTTCCTCTCTCTCCCCCCCCCCCACAGATAGTCAATAAAATAACCCAAAAAATGGTCCAAATATTAGTCCAAAAATGGTCAAAAAATCTTCAAAAAAAGTCCAATTGTCTGAGGGTCGAATGGTCCAGTCCATATTTTTTTTCCTAAGAAAAGCGCATTACCCGAATAGCTCATCTTTTGTTTTGATTTGTTTCTTTGTTTGTTTTTCTTGCTGTTTTGTTTGTCTGCTTGTTATGTTACACTTTTCAGCTTTTTTTGCCTTTTCCTTTATACATCAGTTCACAGCTATGGTCTTGATTACGAGCAGATGCTATGGTGCAAGAGGCGATCATATCTGGCCATGATTTGGGAAGACTTACACACCTCCCTTCTATAAGGCCTCTTCTCCCCCTTTCCCTCCCCAAAAACAGTTTTGATGGACACCTTCCGTTGGTTAAGCTCTCTTCGAAAAAACATTTACCAACCCCTCCCCCCCCGAAGTTGACCGTTGGCCGCAAAAAGGCAAACAAACAAAAAACGTAATTAAGAGGGTACTGGTAAGTTACTAAAGAAACCGTAGAGCCGCGTCGGTGGGAGAGTATAACAGGGTAATTTGGTGCTATCGACTGAGTCAGGAGCCCTCCTATGGTGGACAAATTTTAACCTTTAGTGGCAACAAAAAGTTCGCCGTAAACAATTTTCTTTCAACTGTAAAGAACAGAAATTAATCGTTATTTGTAAATTGGCAAAATTTTTTACCTCTACCCGTAAAAGCCAGCCATCCCTCTTAGATACCCTCTCATTTTTTAACCCGTGTAGTTCAAAGTTAAAAAATATTTTTGTTTTGTACCTTACTATCAGCCAAGTACTGTGGAATACTGATATGATAACGACTGCTGCTCCCCTTTGGCCGGCCGGGCATGAAGAAACAAGAACTCATTGCTGTGTTACCTGCTCTCTAGCTGCGGGAAGACGAGTTCACAAGCACGACAGTGGCTGGGCGTGGCTGGTGGGTGTGTGTGGCTGTCTTTGTAACGTGTTTACTCTGGGCTGTTCGTATAGTTTTGGTGTCATATATCCGTCACTTTTGGACGAGTTCAAGCGAGGCAAAGCTCAAACAGGTAACAGACTGAAGCCTAAGTTCTTTGCTCTCTTGAGTATTGCATGAAGGAACAGATGTCGAGGAAAGATTTATGTGCTCATTTGAATTAGAAAATATCCAAAATTTTTGAGTAACTGAGAAGAAAGGAACGTAGGCTTGGAAACGAAATCCGGAGATTTCAATCCTCAATCAATAGAAGTTATCACTGAATAACATGAATTACATCTAAACCACCGGGTTTTAGGTCAGTAAAGTAACTGTGAGCCGAGGAATACAATGATTTACCTCGACAGCAAATGTATCGGCATGCAAGTAATCGGGTAAACCCTTTTCCTTTTTCCTCCAAGAAAAACTATTTCTTTGGAATATCACGAATATGGGTATACGAACATGGGTTTTTCGGATCAATATCAGTACCTGGGCAACTGCCCACCTACCCCTGCCCTAACTCAACAACAGTCAATTGATAACAAGTTAAGGTTAATGTTGGGTTAGGGGAGGTGTAGGTGGGCAGTTGCCCAGACACTGATATTGATCCGGTTTTTCTTAGCTAGTAGCAGGTGCAACAAAGCTTCTTTGTTTTTTCTTTCGTTTATCCCTGACATGCACATTGACTGAGACTGGATCAACGAATTCCATCACTGCTGGTCCAACAAAACCAAACAGGCATCCAACTAGGCTACGCAAATCGTATAATTTATTCCAATATGAAACTGCAATAAACCTGCAAGACTTCTGGCCTTGAATTATAACACCACAAACCAAATAAAAAGAAAAAGATTTATTGGAGTCGGCGTGCTTGGTACTAAGAGTGTGGGTTGAAACTAAAACGGTAAAAAAGCAAAAAAGTTACAAGGTAAATTAGAGTAAAGAAATAACAAAACTGCAAAACGAGGACTGTGAAGTACACTTACATTGTTTTGGCCAGAGAAAACTTCTGAAAAGAGGACTGCGAAAAACGCGAAGAGGCTAGAAACAAACTGAACAGAACTGCGCTAAGCGCGGACCAAACTGAACTCACAAACTGTACTGACAAATTACGATATGAAAATACGCTAGAACATGCAGAAAATAAAACTATAGAAAGGCGCTAATGAGGATGAAACAGCACGGAAACGCTAACGAGGGCACGGAAACTAACAGAAAGAGATAAACACCTAAATTAACACCAAAAAAAAAGACTAAACAAATGGACGAAAAAATGTTACACTTGGATCTTACACAATATATTATTATTCGATCTAAAGAAAAGAACGAGATACATTTGAGAAATTGAACAGGATCCATCGATTCATAAACACACGAGTAAAACTATTAGATTGAATTACAGCACTGAGAACTTACTTCTATGACGATGTCTAGTAGGATTGTTTCACGGTGTATAGCTACGTACAGGTCAGCAACAGATGAAACAGGTCAGGGTATAACAGAACACGGGTCAGCAAGAAAGGTTAGCAGAACTTGTACGTATCTTCGAATCTTAAGTATCTGAACTGAAAACTGAACTATTCACGTGGCTTAATTACATAAGCTAATGTCAATCAAAATCAATCAGGAAAATCAAGTTAATAATTCATTATATTGACGAAACAACTGCATTGAACACCTCTTTTTCTTTAGCGTGGATTGGCTCCCTTTGCATGTCCTTGACTTTCTTCTTCGGCCCACTGGCGGGAAAACTCTGCGATCGTTTTGGCCCCAGAGCTGTCACAATCATTGGTGCCTTGGTGTCTGTGATCGGACTTGTTGCGACTTCTCAGGCTCGGAATATATTCGTGATATACTTGACATACAGCACCATATTTGCTTTTGGAGGTTGTTGTATCTACACCAGCGTATTTGTCATTGTGCCCAAGTATTTTTTGAAATACCGTTCATTAGCAACTGGAATGATTGCGGCGGGGCCTGGAGCCGGCACATTCGTAATGAGCCCTATTTTAGCACGCTCTATAGAGGAGCTTGGATGGCGTGGGGCATTTTTCGTAATGGCTGGTATCATCGCATCTGTTTGTCTCCTTGGTTGTGCATTTGATCCCAACGCTCCGACGAATCCTGCCGAACGAGACGTACATCGTGAGTTTGAGCAAGGCGACAAGAAAAAAAAACATTTGTCACGTAATCCTTCATATTTGCTATTGGTTTTCGTTACAACTATTGTGATTTTAGGAAATTCAGTTCCTCAAGTCCACATGGTAAGTGTAACAAAAACTATGCCACAAGAATCCTGAATAGGTTTCTTGTGGCTTTTTTTTTTGGTAAAACATCTGACAGCCGTGGTTTTCCTCCACCCAGGGTATAAATAAGTAGGGAAATTAAAACTGTCGGCAAACTTGACAAACAACTGGTTACCTGCGACACCCAGTCTAAGAGTAATTGAAATAACGCATGGAAACCTGAATGTACCAATGAGCCTGTAGATTTAGAAGAATTAGCCTTTACTGCATGCTTCCCGGATATGCTATTGGTCCTACTTTAGTTGGAATTTTATCGTCGGACGATGGGAAACGCGGTAGCTTCGTGTTGGTTTTCGCCAACGGCGGTGTTGGAGCCAGAGTTGTTATTTGAAGTGCAGACTGATAAGATAGGGATCAAATGAAACCCACAGAATCGGAAGTAGAGTACAATTATATCTGATTCTTCCCTATTCGATTCTGTTACGCCAATAACTCCACTTAATTCCGATTTTAAATAGTTCAGAAGCGCTCTTGCGACTCTGAGTGCCACTCCGTCGCCAGTGAGAACAAGCCCAGTGCATAGCAAGCTAGAACCCAGTTAGAGATGTACAAAGCCAGAATGAACACTGGCAGTTATCATAGGCTAAGTGCCCCTTAGCCGTCACTTTCTATCACGGTCTGAACCATCCCAATAAAACAACAATGAATGCAATTTATCTTTAGCTCTGTCCTTTATTTATTTTTCTTTCTTTTTAAGGCTCGCTTCTGTGAAGAGAAAGGCATTAGTCTACAAGTCGCCTCGACGCTCTACCTAGTGCTTGGACTGTGCTCAGTTTTCGCCAGAATTTTAGTCGGTCGCATATGTGATTATAAATTCGTTGATCAGCGATTTGTCTACCAAGGATGCCTGTTTGTTCTTGGTTTTTCAACTCTACTCTGTCCATTGGCAAATAGCTTCCCGACTGTGCTCGTTTATTTCATAGCATTTGGTTTGTTTGACGGTGGGCAATCGACTGTGGCAAATGTGTTGGTGTTAACCTCTGTACAAGAACGACAGAAGGCTCGTGCTTTTGGATTGTGGCTGTTTTGTCTGTCAATCATAATGGCTTGTGGACCGCCCCTTGCAGGTAGGTAGACAGATCCCCTGCTATTGCTTACGTATTGATTATGTGTAAATAGCTCTAGAAACAGTCCCCTGACGTTTCTCCAGACACTGATGTCGTTTCGCTTAAACTCACGACTGAGTGCATTTACCATATAGTTAAGATGTAAAAAAAGGACTTTCCGAGCTTTACTCATAAGTTCTACATTGACTCATTGAAGAATACTCGATTCATTTCCAGGTTACATTGCGGACTCCACGGGTTCATACGCGCCTGCATTCTATTTGGCAGGCGGTAGCATCATAACTGGTGCCAGCGCTTTCTTCGTAATGTACTTCCTAAAAAGAAACTCGGAGGAGATGGAATTGCAAACCGAGCTTGTTGTAATAGAAAAAGTTACAGTTGTGTGACATGTAAGGTTTTTACAAAAAAAATAGTTGCTGCACTGACTGAGGGCTAATTTCTTGCCAAATGGCAGTGAACTTATCAACCCTCTTTCCGTTGAGTTATAGTTCATTATGGTTACACTATAGTACGTTCACTATATCACACAACGCTCTTCCTTAGGGAAGAGCGTTGTGTGATATCCCAAACTACGGCTGGTAATGAGACTATGGCCAGCCCAAAGTTTTAAAAGTATTATTGTTGGCAACCGTCTGTCTCGGAAGACAATGGAAATCTGCACCTAAGAAGTAGAATCACGTCAAGCTGCACCGCCGGCGCATGGTATAAGCGATGTGATGAACCTGTCGATTATTGGCTGCCAGTGAAGCGAAAATTAACTTCTGCTTACTCTATACCTTCAAGGAATGATTTAACTGATTTTGAGGAAAGTGGCGCCATGTTTTCTTGTGATAAGAATTCGGTCTATATGAGGATGGAGTTCGTAACCCACCTGGGCATAGTTTTTTATCGCCGGGTTTTTTTTACCTTTAAGATGCCGAAAATTGCGATGTTTCATCATGTTTTGCACTAAATGCAAATTAGGGTCGAATACTGACATGGCTAACTTTTCTTGCTCCAAAACAAAAACATCCAATTGAAAAGAAAAGTGATTTTGCTCCACATCTGGAGGTTAGACACGTTCTTAAGTGGACTAATTACTGGGATACCTGTGGTAGCCCAGTCATAAAATGCCTTTGTTTTTTTGTCGTCTTTTTTTTTTTTTTTTTTTTTTTTTCCTCCGCCACAAAATGGAAAAATTGCGCAATAGTACCCAGAGGTCATTGGGCCCTTAACACCATGACAACTAACCGTGATCCAATGAGGTGTTCACATGCTGATCACGCATGTTATCTTGATGATGATTGACGTTGTCATGCACGGACAGGGCCGGGTCACATGACGAGCACGAGATTTTTGCCCATAAAACTATTTTGTCAGTCGTTTTGTATTTCAACGTGTTTGGATTACGATCATCTGGAGCAATATGGCGCAAACGCTCAAAATACTTATAGACGCATACACAAGTCGTATTGTTCGCGGCCAATCCACACAAAAATAAGTTATTGAGCGGTAATTTTGGAACGGACTGAATCGCGAACTCTTGAAAGCCATGAAAGCATTGAATGCCTTGTATGTCTTGTATGCTAAGTATGCCAATGTCTTAGTTGAAAACGTTAACTCGTCGTAAAAAGCAAAATCTGAAATCTGAAACCAAACTGCATATACTCTATGCAATCTATTGAACAACACTACGACCGTGAGACTGAAGAACAAAATTCAAATAGGTGCAAACTGCTTGTGAAGAAAGACGCCATGTTGGATTCACTTGATGCTAGGGAACGTAGCTACGGTAACAGTGCGAATGGTATTAATTTCACGATTAGAAAGGTGAATCTTATGTTTGTTTTCATTGTAGTTGTATGGATATTCTTTTTTAATAAATACATGATCCAAAATCCCGTGTTTTTTGTGTATAATGTTATTATGTTAAGTATTGTTTACGCAATTGTCTTGTCACAGGCGACCCAAGGTCACGTCTCGAGAAAGAGCCAACGATTAATTCACGAACGCGTCACGCGTTGTGTGACTCAGGAATAGTTATGCTAGGAACCGTTGAAAATTTGAACACGTTATGAGGAATAGTATAAGGAACGAAATATGGTCGATTTACAACGATAAATATTTAGAAATATGAAGATTTTTCTCGTAAAATCAATAAAACTTACTCATACCCTGTGTATCCGTTGTAGTTTCTGGCGATTGTTGCCGTTTTAAGCTTGCTTTACCATCACTATTATTCACGTCATCTACTTTTATTACATTGGTAAAATCTGTACAGACATCACACCAACCAACTATGTTGAAGGCTTGAAATTATATTACGATCGATTTTCGTCAAGAAATGGGCCAGGAATTTTCCACAATAGTGCAAATAATCGTGAAGGCTGATCGCGGAAAAGCGATTGCGTGACGCTCGGTAAGCTGTAATGCGGGTATCAGCGGCCATCCCGAGGGGTCGACCCCCGGGCACCCAGGGGCATTTGTCACAGCTGCCGTGACAAATACATGCTGAAGCCCCTCGGGTAGGGCAAAAAATTGGGACAAATACCCCCACCCCTGGAGCAACCTGGGCAACATATAGTCGGTGTTGCCTGTTCCTCGATGCAGAAGTACGAGTGATCATGGTTTACTGAAGCCACATCAGCACTAAAATCCACACAAGTCTCTATGGAGTCCTCAAATTCGAGCTTTCTGGGGCAAACTTTCTTGGCTTGCGGTTGTTCATCACACTGTTTCTTCCTATCGGCAAGACGCTTCGAATGCGAACTAACCGTATGAAATTGAAATCTCGATGTCGCTTTCCTTAAAATGCAATGAACAGATTCTTGGATCGCCGAGTGTCTTGAATTTTTTATCCGCTCGCTTACAGAAAACCTCCTACTTCTTACGCTCATTGGGCCTTGTAGGAAAACAAAAATAACTGAGATCAGGTCGTTTCTTACTCCCATTACGGCACAGAGCAACAGCACAATACTTGACCATGGTACACAGGAAAATAAACTGCAAAGGACAAATAAAAGACGCCAAGATTTCCCGATTTGTCAAACGCACATAGCTTTCCTTGCAGTGTTTGTTTTTATTATTTTATTATAATACCTCGAGGGCTAGAAGAACATCGAGCGAGCGAGCTTGCTTGTCCTGTGGCGAAAACCGCTAAACGTTGAGACAGCAGATTACGTGCAAATCCCGTGGGTATGGCCCCGGGGTATTTTGCCAAAAACGCAAAAGCGCTCTAATGCCCCGCGTGCGGGGCATGCCTTCGCTACAAATCCCCTGCTAAGCCCGTGGGTTGCCCTTGGGTTGCCCGGGGGTCGACCCCTCGGGATGGCCGCTGATACCCGCATAAGATGACATGTTATTATATACCAGACGTAAAAACTCTTCAGATTCTCAGTCTGCATTTTGTATCCACTCTGCAGTCTATATTTTGTATCTGGTCTGCAGTCTGCTGTCTACATTTTGTACTAACAGGTATCCGTGGCACCAATACAGTTTATTTTTGGTTACATTTATTCGCACAACACACATAATCTGCCACAAAATACCTGTGTGTGAGGTAATTCGACATTTTCATTCTTTCCTGCGTTAATAATCTTCTTTCCTTTTGTAAGAATGTAGACCACTTACAATGTTTCAAGTAATCCACCCACCCTACAAAAAACAACTCTTGCATGCATAGCATGCCTATGTTTTGAGACAGGTGTATGCCCTTGGCCAGACTTGAGCTCACTATTTCAGTATACTAGTCCGACACGCGTAGTATCACTACACTTGATTCCACGGATCCAGTACCATCCAGGTATCCCAGTTACCCTGCTCACAGGGTCTAGTGTTGATGATAATTGACGTTGTCATGCACAGACAGGGCCGGGTCACATGACGAACACGAGTTTTTGCTAATAAAATTCTTTGGTCAGTTATTTTGTATTTCAACGTATTTGGATTGCGATCTCCTAGAACATTATGGCGCAAACGCGCAAAATACTAATCGTGAAGGCGGATCGCAGAAAAGCGATTGCGTGACGCTCGGTAAGCTGTAAGATGACATGTTATTATATACCAGACGTAAAAACTCTTCAGATTCTTAGTCTGCATTTTGTACCCACTCTGCAGTCTGCAGTCTATATTTTGTATCCTGTTGCAGTCTGCTGTCTGCATTTTGTACTAACAGGTATCCGTGGCACCAATACAGTTTATTTTTGGTTACATTTATTCGCAAAACACACATAATCTACCAGAAAATACCTGTGAGTGAGGTAATTCGACATTTTCGTTCTTTCCCACATTAATATTCTTCTCTCCTTTTGTAAGAATGTAGACATCACTCACAATGTTTCAAGTAATCCACCCACCCTACAAAAAAGTAACTCTTGCATGCATAGCATGCCTATGTTTTGAAATAGGTGTATGCCCTTGGCCAGACTTGAGCGCACTATTTCAGTATACTAGTCCGACACCCGTAGTATCACTACACTTGATTCCAAGGATCCACTACCATCCCGGTATCCCAGTTAGCCTGCCCACAGGGTCTAGTTGCTTCAAAATTTAACACGTTTTAATTACAGACATCTGTTACTGTTGGGAGTCGTTTTTTTATTTAGAGTTTTCCGCAAACTCGCTTCTCACGCGATAAAAGTACTGGGCAGAACTTACGAACAGAAACCACAAAAAACACATTTTGTCTAGTCACGTCTCGCCAGCACTTAGTTTCTTTTATTAATTACCCAAGGCATTATCAGGTTATAGAGTAGCGTCAGATAAATCAGTAGTGCTCTAATATGCGAGCAGTATGCTTTTGACCGTCAACCCTGAATACATAATATTCTGCCAAAAATTATGCTTATGAATTTGCATTATGCTTCATGCAATAACTCAACTTAAGATCATTTAATAACCATCCATTATGCTCAAAATTATGCCGGCATGATTCATCAGAGCCTACCATTAAATGCGCTTTTGAAAATATATTTCGATTTTAATTTTTAAATTTTTTAAGTTTAAAGATATATTTTTATTGTTTGTTAGGGAAACCAGCATAGTCAGCATATTGCAAAAAAAAAAAAAAAAAAAAAAAAAAAAAAAAAAAAAAACTAGCCGCTCTCGCAGGATCCTCGCAGCTATAAAACATATACAGAGGAAAAGGATCAATCATCTTTTTTTCTACGGACGTACATATAGATCGTACCTTTTTCTCGATATTTGCTTCTAGTCGTTCTCTGTGGCTTTTCTGAAATTCCAGCACCTGGTATAAAATGACAAGAAAATTCCACCAGTTTTCAAGGGTAGCCTTCTACTTTTTAGACTCGAGGAAGGCATTCGCTTGTTTGACAGCTACCAATACATGGCCCTTTCCATGTTGAAATCAGAGTATAGTACCCTAGTGGTTTTGTTCTAGACCCCAGATCGAGAAGAGAGTCTCAATGGGGTGATGGCTTTTACGACTAACGGTTAATATTTTGGTCATTTTACGGCTTTTGGTTAATTTTTTTTCCTTTGTTGCTGAAAAGAAATTTTATGGTTAAGATTTTTTGCAACTAACGGATGAAATTCGTCAATTTTTACAAATAACGGTTAAAATTTACCGCTGTTTTACGGCTAATAATTAAACCATTGAGGTTCTCTACACACTGAGAATAAGCACCGGCAGTTATTGTAGGCCAAGCACCTCTAGGACGTCATCTTTTATCACGAACTGAATCATCCCAATAACACAACAGTGAGGCACTTATATCTATTTTTAGCTTTCTTCCTCATTTTGTCTATTTGCGTTACTTTCTAAGGCTCGCTATTGGGAAGAGAAAGGCTTAATTTTACAGCTTGCTTCAAAACTTCATCCAGAATTTTAGTAGGACGCCTGTGTGACTTTAAATTCGCTAATCGCCGATATGTCTTCCGAGGATGCATGTTTGTTCTTCGTTTTTCAACGCTTCTCTGTCCATTGGCAAGTAGCTTTTCGAGTTTACTCGGTTATTCCATAATATTTGGTTTATTTCACGGTAGCTTATCGACTGTGGTAAATGTGTTGGTGTTAACCTCTGTTCATGAAGGACAAAGGGCTCTACCCTTGGATTTTGGCTGTTTTGTATGTCAATCATGATTGCTTGTGGACCGCCCCTTGCAAGTAGGT